CCCCCCCGAAAACAATCCCGGAGATAATTCCCCGGAAAAAATTCCCCCCCAAAAAACAAATTCCCCGAATTATTTCCCTTTACGAATGTGAAAAACAATTACACAAACACACATTGCCAACGTCAATTTCATTTATTACATCCTTCAATCTTCGAAGACCCGCCAGATGAGAATTCAACTTTTTCAATAGATCAATAATAAATAAATTACGTTACTGCAATAAATTGATTGTCAACATTTTCGAACCAATTCCCCCAAATAATTCGAATTAAACTCTTCCCCCAATAATCAATGAATCTTCATTGACAAGCATTCTCGTCCTACAAAGTCGCAGATTCATAAAAAAAAATATTGACAACATTCAACAAAACATCATCTTACACTACCAAGTCAATCCATTTCAAAAGAAACATATCTCCAAACAACCAATCATGAATGAATAAATTGCATTGTCATTATCATGTATAACTTGGAGGAGTAACGAGAATACTCTCCAACATTAACCCTAGTCTGGTCACCTGACGGGAAAATGTGACTTTAGTCACCTTCGCGGGAGAGTGCCGCCGTGTTATTTAGGCTCCAGCGTTGTCGAATCGACTCTACACGTCCCGGGCGCGTTTAGCGAGTTCCCAGCAACGTCGCGCAACAGGCAATTTCATTTAACACGGGAAAAAATTGTTCACCTGTTGGAAATAATTGTTTTTTCTCCCAGAATTAAGGATACAATATTGAAAAAAAAATACTAGAATTTTCCAGATACTTCAATTGACGAATTCAATTTTTCTCAAATTTTTCCGGTCAACCAGTCGATGGCAAGGTGAATAAAACGAAATGTAGCGGCAATTCCCTCGCATGGTGACCAATCTAGGGTTAACAATAAAGTTAAAAATTATAATATATTTATTTTTCATTTTTGCCGGAGATTTTTTTTTTCGGTGATTTTCAGGGGAAAATATTGGTAGTCGGACAATTTTTGACCTGACACAATCTCCCTGAAAAAAAAATCCCCGAACAAAGTCTCCCTGAAAACAAATTTCCCCGAAGAATAATTTCTCCTTGAAAGAATCCCCTTGGAAAAAAAATTCCCCGGACTATTGCTTCTTGCGAAATTTCCTCGAAAAAATTCCTTTCAACGAGTCTTCTGAGAGGTAAATTTTCCGCAAATAACAATCCGTAATAATTCCCAAGTAATTATTGTTACGTGTTCCCTATCATTTCTATTGCCTTTGTTCCTTTGTAATTTCATTGAGGCTAAAGACTCGATAATTTCATGTGTCTATTGTGCGATTCAGTAATAAAAACCCCTTTAATTGAGCATTATCGTTATAATTATTTTGGCCGGATCCGGATTCCTAATCGCAAATTCCTTTTTCAGGGAGATTTTGTCCGGGGAAATTCTTTTTCGGAGAGANCCCCAATAATCAATGAATCTTCATTGACAAGCATTCTCGTCCTACAAAGTCGCAGATTCATAAAAAAAAATATTGACAACATTCAACAAAACATCATCTTACACTACCAAGTCAATCCATTTCAAAAGAAACATATCTCCAAACAACCAATCATGAATGAATAAATTGCATTGTCATTATCATGTATAACTTGGAGGAGTAACGAGAATACTCTCCAACATTAACCCTAGTCTGGTCACCTGACGGGAAAATGTGACTTTAGTCACCTTCGCGGGAGAGTGCCGCCGTGTTATTTAGGCTCCAGCGTTGTCGAATCGACTCTACACTTCCCGGGCGCGATCAGCGAGTTCCCAGCAGCGTCGCGCAACAGGCAATTTCATTTAACACGGGAAAAAATTGTTCACCTGTTGGAAATAATTGGTTTTTCTCCCAGAATTAAGGATACAATATTGAAAAAAAAATGCTAGAATTTTCCAGATACTTCAATTGACGAATTCAATTTTTCTCAAATTTTTCCGGTCAACCAGTCGATGGCAAGGTGAATAAAACGAAATGTAGCGGCAATTCCCTCGCATGGTGACCAATCTAGGGTTAACAATAAAGTTAAAAATTATAATATATTTATTTTTCATTTTTGCCGGAGATTTTTTTTTTCGGTGATTTTCAGGGGAAAATATTGGTAGTCGGACAATTTTTGACCTGACACAATCTCCCTGAAAAAAAAATCCCCGAACAAAGTCTCCCTGAAAACAAATTTCCCCGAAGAATAATTTCTCCTTGAAAGAATCCCCTTGGAAAAAAAATTCCCCGGACTATTGCTTCTTGCGAAATTTCCTCGAAAAAATTCCTTTCAACGAGTCTTCTGAGAGGTAAATTTTCCGCAAATAACAATCCGTAATAATTCCCAAGTAATTATTGTTACGTGTTCCCTATCATTTCTATTGCCTTTGTTCCTTTGTAATTTCATTGAGGCTAAAGACTCGATAATTTCATGTGTCTATTGTGCGATTCAGTAATAAAAACCCCTTTAATTGAGCATTATCGTTATAATTATTTTGGCCGGATCCGGATTCCTAATCGCAAATTCCTTTTTCAGGGAGATTTTGTCCGGGGAAATTCTTTTTCGGAGAGATTTTGTCCAGGGAAATTTTTCTCGGGGAAATTTTGTCCTGGAGATTTTGTCCGGAGAAAAACTGTCCTAGAATCGAAAATATTCCGGGAAAATAATTCCGGGAGAATATTTAGACGAGAGATTTTTTCCACCGGAAAATTTTTCCGGGGGAATTCTGACGGGGGAATTTTTTCCGGGAAATTGTTTCAGGGGGGAAAAAATCCGGTCACCGTTTTTTGGCACTTACACCCCTTTGGCTATCCGGAGACGTTCCATTCACTGAAATCACTAATTTGATCCATACAAAAGACATTTCAAATATGAACATAGAAACCCTGTGATGAGTTGCCCACTAATGTACAGAGGTAGAACAAGCAAAATAGCTCATTCTTCCGCACCAACCAACCAAATTTTCCTTCAAATTTTAGTACGCAGACGGTCGTCCGTGCCTTATCCCTCGCAGCACAGCATGCCTAGTCGCGGTGGGCCCCCCTCGATCGCGGAGCGACCACCACCACTTTCTCTCAAAGGCCTCAAACGACTCGACAATCTCCTCCCGCCACAGCTACCACCAGGCCAACGGCTCCTCGACCCCGGCTAAGTCCAAGCCCTCCCACAAAGCCCCATCCCCATCCTGCTCCTCAAAAGACTCCAACACTCATCACCCCCCGTCCCACACGAGCAACAGCCTGTGCGTAGCCTGCATCTCCAGTGCCAATCGCCGACGAGACCCCGCAGACGGAGCAAGCCTAGACGTCTACGACCTAGCAAGTCCCTGTTGCGATCCAAATTGCGTTCCAAGTAGGAGGAGACGAGAGAAGCAACGAAGAGCGAGGAATGAGGCTCAGCAGCAGGCTCAGCAACAGGGCCAGCAGTCCCAGCACCAGCAGCAGCAACACCACAATCAGAAGGAGCAGAGCCAACCCCAACAGCACAGCGGACACTCTTGTCCCCGGGCATCGGGTCACAGTCTCCACTCGGTAACCTCCAGCGACGTCTCCACAACCGTTGAGAGTGTCGCCTCCTGCTCGACTTCCTTGAGCACAGACACTCTGTACTGGGACCCCAACGTTCAACACCGACCACCCGCCTGCATTCAATACGCAAAGCCTAAATCATGGGACAATCTCACGACCAAAGCGTTCGGAGGGTACGGCTTTGGCTATGGGTACCTGGACACTGCCTCCATCAAGACGCACAGTGCCGAGAGGCCGGGGAAGAGCCACAGCAGGGCCAAAACCCCCACGTCCTCCAGTCAGAGGAGGTCCGGGGGGTCTGCGCACTCGGGAGGCTCCAGTGGAACTTCCAACAGACATTTTCAGCCGACCAAGTCCACGGAGAGCTTACTCGTGCAGAGCCCGTATCAGAGTGAGGTCGACTCCTCGAGTTTGAGCTGCGAGTGTCTTGATGGGAATGGCAGGTTTATGCATAAGAGGCAGGAGGAGGGCGCGTATGCCGGGGGGAGTGGGCATCATCAGGCGAGAAACCGGAGGAGCAGCCATGGCGATGGCAAACTCAGGCCTGCCGCTAATGCGGGGTCCGAGGTCACCAGATTGTAATGAGTAGATGTGGAATGTTTAATAAATTGTGTACTTCGTTCTAGCTTTGAATTTTATTTCGAAGGAAACGGGGGGGGGGGGGACCTTTCATGAATTGGTGAGGGTCTGAAGGTATGAGGAGTTTGATAGTTTTTCCCATTCAGAGTTCGCTCAATGGAATTGCACCATTTGATGTCACGTGGTAGAAGATATATAGTATTCAACAGGTTCCCGAGTGGAAATTTTAGTCAGGTCTTGATCAGACACTGATCAAGTTATCATATCAGATTCTGATCACGTATGTAACGCTATAATTTTGGGTTTTCCACTAGAGTTTCACCGCCTACCATCATTAGGCATTAATTAAATTTAAATTTTTTGAGAGAAAAAATTAGTAACTAGCCGGGAATCGAACCCGGGACCTCCCAATGTCGCGTCGGGTGCTGTTACTTTTTTTTAACCTTTTTTTTATTTATTTTTTACAGTAGGTATTTACAATATTTACAGCTATTTACATAAAAAAAACAGGTACATAAAAAAAATGAAATTCAGTATCTGGTGTTCGATAAACATTGGTCACTCTGTGACACTCGTGTTCAATTTTTTATTGGGCTTTTTTATAGATTTATTATTATTATAAGGTTTTAAACCTTTGCTCTGTTGTAGAGCTTCCTTGTTTTTGTTTATATGCGCTGGAAAAAAAAGAAAAAGTGTGAGAAAAAAAAAAGAAAAAAATAAGTGTGTGTATAATATAAAAAAACAAGCGCAACTTCGTCGGGGGCTCTTACCATGTGAGATACCAGAACACTTACGAATTTCACTCTCAAATTGAATCATACCCGCGTGGAAATTTTAGTCAGGTTTTGGTCAGACGCTGATCAAGTTATCATATCAGATTCTGATCAGGTATGTAACGCTATAATTTTGGATTTTCTACTAGGGTCATTTTTGGCGGTTGGGTCCAGACCAATTAGAGTGCAGTATTTGATTACATGAAGTACGTCCTGATTCGGCCTTGAATTGATTAGAATAGAATAGAATTTATTTCATTGGTGCTACAATTACTGTTTTACACCTACACAAGCCTCTCCTCAGCTCAACAATAACAAAAAATAAATACAAAAAATTGCTGTAGGTATTCATTGAATTGATTATTTTTTTGCACGCGTGGAAAAATTCAATAGAAAATCTAGCGAATTCGATAGAAAATTCTTTTGGAATTCTATAGGAACTCTATAGCGTTTCTATAGGATTTTTATTGGAATTCTATTGAAAAATTCTATTTGTTTTTGGCGCTGATTCTGTTGGATATTCAATAAGAAAAAGTCAATAGATTTCGAATCTCTGTTGAAATTTTTCTCTTAAATTTTTTTAATTAAAATTATTGGGCACAAAATTTTCCAGGTTTTTTCTGCTGGATTTTGTTTTGTTTTGCATTGCAGAATCCGAATGGAAAAAACTTGAAAAATTGATGCCCGAGCATTCTTATAAAAAAAATTTCAAGAGAAAAATTTAAACAGGAACTCGGAATCTATTAACTTTTTCTTATCGAATATTCAATAGAATCAGCGCAAAAAACAAATCAAATTTTTCAATAGAATCCCAATAAAAATCCTATAGAAACCCCATAGAATTCCTACAGAATTCCAATAGAATTTTCTAGCGGATTCGGTAGATTTTTTATTGAATTTTTTCATACGTGTTATCGAACTGATAATTCTACGGTAGCCTTTCAATTGTTTTCCCATCTTTTGACCGGTTTTTCCCTATTTTGGCGAAAAGTATCACGTAACCCCGCAGACCGCACTCTAATCTGCAAGAATCACTCGAAGACTTTTGAAAAATCAGAACAGAGAAGTGGGAGAGGCCAGGCAGACCAATGAGGAGCCTATAAAACCGTAATGGTAGTAGGAAATAAATATGAATAAAAAGTGCCTCATGACAGTAATCATACCTCTGCACAAAGCTGAGCCAAAAAGGCGAAAAACTATTGTTACACGAAGGCTATTCATTTAACAAATTACGCATCACAAGTGTGTCGACGTTTGAAATCCCTTATATAGATCGTCGTTAGTATGGACGGGTCAATAACACAAATTTTTATAATACCTGCCTCAAAAGTGTACTTTTCGAAACGGTTTAGTGTGCGTAAAGCGGTTGTTTTCCGCACGCTCTTGAACTTTACGCACTCGCGCACAAAAACAACCGCATTACCCCCCTTCCGTTCCGAACACTGAACTCGGCAGGTATCACAAAAAATGGGATGTGTTATACGTGCGTGTGAAAAAGTGGAACTGTACGCACTAGTAACACAATGTGCTATTCTCCAAGTTTAAGGATTGACGCAAGCATCTTTTTTACAAGAGTAAATTTTTTTATGGTCAAATGCCATCAAACTTTGGCAAAACGTTATTTGAACTATTATAAAATGATCGGTCTATCGCTCAGCTCTTCGTCATATTGTCAATATCGATTTTTTTTGTTTTTTATGTTTCAGTTGATATTGACAATATGACAAAGAGCTAAGCGATAGATTGCTCATCTTATAATGGTTCAAATAACGTTTATGCCACTCATGCCTGAAACCGGCTGGATTACACACTCGACGCTTCGCGTCTCGTGTCTAATTCAGCCGGTTTCAGGCTTCGTGACATAAAATTTTGTTCAGTACTTGTTGGGAAATTTTGTCCTTAACGTCTGTGGTTACATCACTCGCCTTCGGCTCATGCTGTAAACCCCACACACGTTAAAGACGAAATTGCCCCACACGTGCTGAAATATACTATTTCTGTACTGCTTCTTACGATTTCTCGTCTGGGAATTGGTATAACATACTTCCCAAACTCGAAAACTTGAAAATCACTACAGAAAAATATTGTTCCTGGGCTCGCCTACGGCTCGGAGGCCAACGCCACACGAGTAAAAAACCCCATCGCAACAGGCCGGAAAAATACTATTTGCCAAAGTTTCATGGCATTTGACCATAAAAAAATTTACTCTTGTGAAAAACTCCCGCCCAAATTACTTACGTCAATCCTTAACACAAATTTCTACTTTTGACGGTTTTACACAATGTAATCTGAAAGTTGTGTCCATCTGCTGTATTTCTCTTCTTCTCCAGTCTACCCCCCACCCCCCTCCAATTATTTTCATTAATGGTCCAGTCGCTCGAGCAGTGCCCCGAGAACTTTACGTACGCCGTGCGGAAAACAACCGCTTTACGCACACTAAACCGTTTTGAAAAGTGCACTTTTGAGGCAAGTATCACAAAAAAATACTATATTGGCACAAATAAGTCTTGTTTGAGAACTCCATCATTTTTCTCTCACTGTAGAGAAAGGGTTTTGACATCACCTATCAAACTACGGGCGCGCCAGAATTATTAATTCTACCTTCGAAATTATTCATTTCGCACATGGAGAGGAATATTCAATAAAAATTTTACGTATCTTTTCCGTAATATCAGAGTGAAATGTGGTTGTAGGAAATTTTACGGAACTGTCACGGAATTTTTCCAGTGTTCCGTAATTTTTATCTGAATCGCCTGTGAAAAATTTTAAATTTTCTCAGTCGGTGAGCGAATTCTGAGTTCCGTAATTTTTACTGACAAGATCTAGGCGCGCTCCGCGCGCGCTGCTCTATTCATTTGTTGAAATAAAGAAATGGAATTCATTGAATTTCATTTTCTCATGAATACCTTATAAATATTGATAATGAATCAAAGAGAATTCGACTAATGATTGAAGTGAATAGCGAAGTAGAGTAAAAGAATCTATAAAGAATTTTTCATTTTCAATTAATTATCTTCAATTTTTTTTAATAATCGGTCTCCATAAAAGGACAGTATTTATTAATTTCATCGATGATATATATATATATATATATATATATATATATATATATATATGACGTGAAAAACAAAATTACCACTAAAGAATTTGAAATTATGTCACTGAAGAATTTGAAAATGCCGCGTGTTTTTTTGTGAATAACTTCGTGTCACATATTGACCAATCAGAATTAAGGATTAGCCGTCAGGCAGCTTCGAGATATTTCGATATAAAACAACTTCACGTTTCTTTCATCTTCAGTAAAATCGGATATCACCCATGGAACGACATCTATAAATTGAAAATCTACAACTAGTATCCCGCCGCAGTTTACCATTTTACCGACAAATCCATCCCATCTACCATGAAGAATATCTTCATGCCATCTACAACGAAAATCAGACTTCGTGGTCGTGTTGATTTTTCGTCAACGTTTTTCGTGGAAATTACTGGAATATCACGAAATCGCTGTTGTCGCCACGCTAGTGGTGGTCCCATCTGAATCAAAGGTATCACCGAATTAAGCAAGAATCACTCGATAACCGTGAACGTTGTAATAAACTCAATAGTCATTAAATTCTCACGTTAGTTTTCATCACAAAGATAAAAATTTAATAAAAAATGTCGGACTGGGACACCGTGCCGATTACGCTCCGAAAGAAGGCCCCAAAAGGCTCAGCACTGAAATCGGAGAAGGTACAAAATATTTTGATTTTTTAATCACTAAGTATGAGTGAAGATTCTCAATGGGCTAAAGAATTTTAAAATTACCATTAAAGGCAATCAACAATGCACGTCGCCAGGGAGTTGCAGTCGACACTCAAGTTAAATGTAAGTTTATTTCTTCAGTTAAAAAAAATTAATTTGTTGAAGAGAACATCAAGGACGTTTGGGTCACTTTTCCAGGTCATCGGATTTTCCTTCGTGTTTATTGACTTTTCTGTTATAACAGAATAGAGAATAGCAAAGACTTCCGCAATTTTAGTTTCGTTTCGAATGCGATGGATTTTTTTAATTGTTTATTTATTCGTTTTCTTTATCGTCGTGTTGTTGTAATGCGTTTGGCCGTTTGTTTTCAAAGGGGGAGGTGGTGCTAATAAGCAACACGTAACTACTAAAAACACAGCAAAACTCGATCGCGAAACTGAGGAGTTGAAGCATGAGACTGTACCGCTGGACCTGGGGAAGCTGATTCAGCAGGGAAGAGCTAATAAGAATCTGTCACAGAAGGATCTTGCCACGGTAAGGAAATTATTTCATATAAATATGTTATTTCATTTATTTTATTTCATGACAAATAAATTATTTCGTACATTTAGTAGCCAAACGGTAAAATGATTCAAACGATTTTGTCTATTGGTCGGTTTTCAATTAATATCTCGGAATCTAGGGCAGGTAGCGAAATTTACCTCATGACATTTTTTGTGGAGCGGACTGAGGGCTACAAAAAAGGTTACTACAAAAATTTTGGTATCTCCTTTAAATTCGGAGATATTCCTCGAAAACTCAGCTGAGAGCTAAATCGACTTCAATCGTTTTACCGCTTCGCTACTGATTTGGCTTCAGGGGAAAATTTATACTCTCCGGTTAAAGACTGACATGCCGGCAACGAATTCCGTTGGAAATAAATGAATAAATATCAAGGGTCTTATGGCGGGATGCCAAAAATAAAAAAATTCTCTGGAAAAAATACAAGTTTGAGGTTTTTACGTTTTAAGGATATCCAAGTACTTTGGCTATTTTTTCTCCAGTGAAATGCTTTTCTATTTTTGTAGTCGAACATCAGAGCTTGCATTTGATCCCCATTTGACCCTACGATTCCGGACATTTTACAATGTTATTATTTAAACTTTGCAGGTCTCAATTTGAATTTCGATATTGAATCATTAGAAAACATTTTTAAAATCTGAAAAAAAGTATAAAGTTTACTTTTGCAAGAAGATGAAATAATTAAAAAAGGCAAATTTTTGAAAATTATGAGCATTTTCTATTAATAATTTATAAACAACCAATTTTCCACCATAAGAATTATTGATTCGGAATCGTAACAAATTTATTAATATTGATAATTTTGCCAGACATTGATTTCATGCCTAAAAATGAGGTTTTCCGAAAGTTTAAACAATTTCAATTATTTATTTATAAACAACGAAGGTTTAAAAAACAATAATTCAAATTTTTCTCAAGTAATTTAATTTCTGAATTTAATGATTGAAAATGGTTGAAATTAGAGCGTGGTCTGTACCAAACGGTAAAGGTACTAGAATATCATTAATTCGTTCACGAAATTCCAAGTGAAAATCGTTTACGAAATAACGCAATACTAATTTTTGGAATTTTGGAACATGGGCTTTTTTTAGAAAATCTTGAAACTTTATAAACTATCATTTTTCAATAATTTACAAATATGTTTTGAAAGAATATTCTGTGATTTTTTAAATGAATTAATTAAAAATTTTCATTAACAAATCACGATTTTTTGTTGTAATGGAGGGAATCCTGAAGCCCCTAAGGTCTTATCTAAAAATTGATCATCGAATTTCAATTTTTGGAGCAAAGTGACCCCACCACCATACCCTAAAGACTCGTTTCATTCCATTTCATTTCACTTGTGGAGCAAGTCAGCAAAAACTGGTATACCCCTCATGCATATACAGAATAACGTTGTGTGCATAGCAACGTGTGCATATTCAACGATATTATGACGGTGCAACGTGCGCATATCAACGGTATTATGATATAATTATCTCCCCTCCCTCTAATCACTTTGAGTACAACCCAGCTCGACTTAAGGTATATCCCAAGAAAATCAGACCCAAAATCTAATCCCTATGGATTTCCGGAAAACAATTCTGAATAACTTAAGGGGAGACTACTATGAGTTTTAAAAATCGTGGGTTATTGGAGTGAACCTTTTTATACGTTGAAGATCGATTATATAGATCTGAAAACGAATAATTAGTGCAAAAAAAAATTTTTTTTATTGTTCATTTGCCCGAAAACGCTTAAAATGCCAAAAACAGTCCAGGACCTCCAATTTTTGAGCTACGAAGGATTTTTTTTCTTCAAAATTTTCGGAAAAATATGTGGAATAACAATTACGAGCTAGTTTTTTTTAAATCACCTTTTACATGGCTAAATTTCTTTTTTGTATATTTTTACACAAATATTGAATTTTTTTATATGAAAAAAAGCCGAAATCAGCTCCGCGTGCCTAAAAGTCCAATTTCCGCCACATTGTGATGAAAAATATTGTTCGTAACTCGTGAAAAAATGTTTTTTAGCTCATGGAATTATATCACTCGCCTTCGGCTCGTGATATAAACCTCCCACTCGCCAAAAAACACTTTTTTGCACTCGTTACGACATATACTATTTTCTATTTTCTAGGCGATTATTCCTTTTCAAAAATTTTCAGTCTCCAATTCGTGATTTTTGCTATTCAATGCCATTCATTACATTAATCATTCTATCAAGAGACAAGGATAGAAATCGAATTGACGAGTAATCTCTCATTATTCGAAAAGATATTTGATGCAGTTATTCGTCGGTATAGGGCTGTAAAACGTGCAGTTTTACAGTTGCCAAAAATATATATATCAAGAATAAGAATGAATCGCAATAACTTAATCTAATCCTGAAGACGGAAAAGGCAAAAAAAATGAAATAAAATAATATAGTATAAACTAATCTTCGCTAGTAGTCAAAATTGATTTGAACCGTTTTACCGCTTCGCTACTGAATTTATGAGCTGTTACTGAAATAATCTTCAAATTGATTCTTTTCAGGGAAGCCCATCACCGTACTCTCACACATAATTAACTATCCATTCTGCATAATGAGGCTTTCTTAAACTCATCAAATATCTTTTACATTCCTATAGAAAGTCAACGAAAAAGTTCAAGTGATAAACGACTACGAGGCAGGTCGTGGCATCCCCAATCAGCTGGTAATCGGTAAAATTGAGAAAGTCTTGGGCATGAAACTTCGCGGAAAGGACCGCGGTAAACCACTAGAGCCCCGGGGATCATCAGCGAAACATTGAATCTCCGGGGAACCAACGAGTACTTGAAAACTTTCTTTAAGGTTCTAACAACTACGACAACAACACAAAATTCAAAGAAAAAAAAAGTCAAAATGCGTACGTGAATGCTAGAGTCACCAGAGATAATCTCCCAACACCGTTTTGTTTTCTTGTTTCCTTCCTCCTTCACAAATTGTTTCTTTTCTTTCTCATCTTTATGCTTCATTTTTTGATACGATGTATTATAACATAGATTTTTGTTACACCTCTGTTTATATATTTGAAAAAACATAGATATTTTATAAGAGCTTAAAAATTAAAAAGAAAAGTAAATCAATGAGTATAACGTGTAGGTGAATGTTACTCACATAGGAATCATTAAAACAACTCACAATTATCGATAATAGAATTCATGTGGTTATTCGTAGAATGATGTATAAGAATTTCCATCGTGATTTATCCTGAAATTGTACTGAGTTCACTAATAAATGTAATTTATGACTGTAAATTTTTTTTTTCATCTGTTATACTGTTTTTCGAAATAAATTATTAATGGAAAATCCCAGTGTGAGATTTAGCAATCAATTATGAACAACCGAGTTAATTAAAAATATGGAGAAACAACATTGAATTCTATTTATTTTGCAAGAATTTCCGAAATGGAGATGTATGTCAAAAGACCTCTTTTCCAGTTCTCAAAATATCTTTTACATAAGAGGATTTGTTTTTACATAGATTCATCTCCTTGTCAGTAAACTACATATTGAAGAAGGATCTATGAATTCAAGAAATTCAGAGAACATTTCTGGCGATTTCTCGAACTGTATGAAAATTGCCATGATTTTCTAGAAAATAACAGTTTTATAAAATTTAAAGGCTTTTTGTTTAAGTATGAAATTACCATCTCGAGACAGATTTTTTCAAGCTCAATCCGAATCTCTTCTCCATTTTTCCCGAAATGCGATCGTTATAACGGACAAAAATGTTAGTCTCAAAAAAAGGCCAAAACGCTTTTACATAAGAGGATTTTTTTTACATAGATTCATCTCCTTGTCAGTAAGCTATAAATTGAAGAAGAATCTATGAATTGAAGAAATTCAGAGAACATTTCTGGCGATTTCCCGAACTGTATGGAAATTGCCATGATTTTCTAGAAAATAACAGTTTTACAAAATTCAAATGTATTTTGTTTAAGTATGAAATTACCATCTCCGAATCCGAATCTCTTCTCCATTTTTCCTGAAATGCGATCGTTATCACGGACAAAAATGTTAAAGTCTCAAAAAAAGGCCAAAACGCTTGTTCAAAAAAAAAAATAGAAAAATAACTGCTACATGTATTGATCCCATTTAAAATTCAGCTAATTCATGAAATGTCAATCTTCTCGATGAGACTGTCCATTTTAATATCAGTGTCTAGGTACTTTAAGAAAAATTCAAGATTAATTCATGAAAAATGCAACTTGACGTAATTTTGAATTGCATGATGGGAGTACCGTGAAGTTGTGAAGGGAATATCCCGGGCAATGGCGAGGGAACAGCCAGTATACAATAGGAATAATCATTTATTGACAAAAGAGAATTTATTTCGATTAGTTTAATAGATATTCGTAAAAATTCCAAATGAAAAAGACTTAATCCTTCCTCAACTCAAAACTATCATCCTTAATGCCATCTTTAGTGATGATCTTGATGCTGACACTGTCGCCAGTGTATATATCCCTCTCAGTAGCTGAGATGAACATGTCCTTGATGATGGTGAGAGCCTTCTCCTTAGTGATGGGTTCCTTCTCAGGATTTTCCTGGTTCTTGAGGCCCACAAGATTATCAAGGAGCGGCTGGAGAAGAGCTCCAGAGGATCCACCAGCTCTGTACATGTTCCTCTCGATGTGGCCAATGGGATCATAACTGTAGATACAGCCCTTTCCATTCTCGTCCAGACCGGCTAGAATGTTGCTCACGTAGTAGGGAAAGAAGCGCTTGTAGTAGAGCATTGTGGAGAGCATCTGAGCTGTTGCCGGAGTTGACATGTCCTTATTGTGTTCATGCTTGTACATCTGTAGGTGAATTAAGACGAATAATTGAAATAGATATTTGAGAAAAGATTCTGGATCACAAAATTGTATTTGAAGATATCCAAGTAGTCGGTCGGTTATTTTCTGTATTCTCATTATTTTACAGTTTCGTCTGCATGAGACTGAACACAATGTTTCGAGTCAAAATTTCACAAAAATTGTGTGATTTACTTATTTATTTATTTATTTCATTTTCTACTAGAGGTCAGTTGAACGATTTTAAAAGGCGGATATGCTACATAATTACTAAAATTCGCAGGTAATTTTTGATGGATTTTTTTCGTTTATAAACCAACTAATTTGAAAGGGTGAAATGTCTGCGTTTCCTGCGTGAGAATTCTTCAAATATTTTCTTTCAAACTCATCCATTTGTAGGATCGATTAGTGAAAATTTCAAATTTCATTTGTACCTCAGAAAATTCATTAGAAGAAATGATCACAACGAAAAAATACCCACAAAAAAAACTTTGAAATTACCTGCATACGAGCAGCGAGAATTCTCGTCAACGTCAGAGTGTCACACCAGCACCCAGAGCAACCGAGGACAGTTTTATCCGACAATTTGAACAGCTTCTCCTGATCCCTAGTGTAAATTGAGAACCCAGCGCTCAATCGAGTCTCAGCTGCGATTATCGCAAAGTCCTCACCGGCAATAGCAACTACACTCCTGCAAAACCCCAAGAAAATCCCGATTAAAACTGCAGAACAAAACCCATCGATTTGAAACTAAAATGACATAAGGGTGGTGGATTTGGGCAATTACAATTTGTTTATCAATCGAAAATACAGAATAATTTGGAAATTTTTTCTTACATTTATCAATAGTTATATAGGGTAAACTGCCCAGTAGGTGGACGCCTAAAAAAACCGCCCAGTAGAAGGACGTTTGTTTTTTAGCAATTGAAAAAAAAATTGATCGAAAAAAAATCGTCACTCAGGGGTTAAGAATCACAACAGTTAGTGAAAATTCAAACAACAATTCACATTTCATTTTTTTTTGCGTAATTTCCTATCCAAAAGTAGCGAGTCCATCTATAGGGCAGTGTTCATCTACTGTAAAGGTTAAAAGGGATAACGACCTCAAAAACAGAACATAGAATCAAATTAAAAACTCATCGAATTCCCAATCCCAGTGAGGTTATCAAACATTTCTTACCCTCCATTGTCCGCATAAGGGCTGAAATGCACCTTCTTGGCCCCAGGAGCCTCGTAATCTGGGAGAGAACCTCCAGCATATCCACTCAACATTGCCATGACACTATCCAATTAGTATCAGCTCTAGAAACCACAGGATTTGTTAATTTTCTCGCGGATGACAACACACTTTTGCCTGCTTGAGGTCCTTGAGGTTGAGGATGACAATTCGGCGACAATGAGCGACAAAATCCATCGCCTCAAGTCCAATCCTCAACGACCCACTCAGCCCCCTAGTGCTCGATCCATCAACTCACTTTCTTCAAAAAAAAATGTAAATCTTGAGGTTTTGGAGCTATCTCATTACAATTGAATCATGGTTCAATAGAGTCAGCTGATCTTAAAGCACAGTCAAACTGCCAATATCAAGAGCAAAAAAAACAAAGTTATAATTAAAAAGAGTTGTGTTAAGTTGAGTTGTATGTGGGACAGACGAAAATTCTTGAAATTAGGTAATTATTAGTGGACAATCGAATGAATTCGTCGAGACGAATTGATAAAAATAATTGGTGAGTAATATTGGAGCGGATAATCGAGTTCCAGTGAAGCCATACATGGGTATATGTGATATCCCATGCTATATACATAATCAATCCCATTTTTGTATCAAGGACAAGCCTTTATTATTGGTTTCCTGCTGGTACTCTGTCATCCTCGTGCTGCGATTTTCAGTTTATCGGGGTTTATTGAATCAGTTTATTGAATATGTGAATGATAATGGGAGTCATTGGGTCGTGTGAATTTATCTGTTGTCCGGAGTTTTTCTGATGTTTATTATCCTCGGTGATTGAAGAGCTGGTCAGGTTCTGTTGAGTTTATTTGGGTCGGTGCGTGTGTACCTACTTATTCCCACAGAGCTTACTCATTTAATTGTATGGTATTAGGACATTCTCGGGACATGCGAAGTTTATTTACTAGGGGACTAGATATTTAGTGATGAGAATACACTGACAAGGAGAGAAAAACGGTAGAGTTCTGAAACCAGTCTTACTTGTGCTAATAGAGTCGTTTTTTTTAATTAAGGGAGGTTGGGGTAAAACGGACACTTGAATTTTTTTTAAATGTTAATGAGGGGTTGAAATGTTGATGAAATTTAAGAATTTTTTTTTCAATACAAAGAACAATTCTTTCCCCTTGCGACGAGCCTAAACTGAACTCAATTGATAAATTTGTTTCTGAGTTATGAACAATTTTAAAAAAGTCTAGTGTCCATTTTATCCCACCCGCCCCTATTAAACGAGTAGACAATTGCATTTTTTTATAAATGAGTTTGTTATTGTTGGTAATGGATTAATAGTTTACTTCGAAATGGGTTCTTTTTTTTTTAATTCTTATTTCACTATTCTTCTTGTTCTATTCTTTCATGTCATAGCGCTATCATCAATTAAAATGTCTTCAAAATTTTACTTATTATACTAACAACAAGAGGGTATTGTTATAAATTTTTTGAGCCATGACTAATTCCATTCTGATGACAATTTTTTGATTGATCGTTGAAAAATCGATTTTTGGAAAAATAATAATTTTTTTTAATCCGAACGAAAAATTGAATTTTAATTGGTCTCAATGAATAGAGCTTATTAAAGTCTATATTCATGAAAAAATTAGTGAAATTCGATTGATCTCTCTTAAGGAAATTTCGAAAAAAATGGAGAAAAAAAATCATAACAATCGCATATTCAGAGTTTTTAGATCATATTTAGTTACCCTAACACAAAAAATTGGAATCCTTTTTGTTTCCATTCGGAATCAAAAAGGATTTTTTTGTGCCAAATAGGCAAAGAGAGATGGAAAATTGTTGTCGCAAAAATGGATTTAATAGTTCCGAAAAAAATTGTATTCTCCGTGCAAGCAAGAAATGTCATTTCCAGCACTACTTCTTTATTATTCCATAAATTTGTGGTAAATTACTTTCGCTGTTTTGATTTATTTTCTAAAATTAATTCCTCACAGCTCTTGATGCTCTAAATAAAAATCAGTAAATGGAAATTCTATAGATATCAGCAGCGAAGTGGTAAAACGGTTTAAGTCGATTTATCTCTTAGTTCAGTTTCTGAAGAATATCTCCGAATCTAAAGGAGATAATGAAATTTTCGAAATAACCTTTTTTCTAAAGCAAATTGAGTGCTACAAAAAAGGTCTTCACAAAAATTTAGCTATTTCCCTTAGATTTCGAGATATTCACTAAAACCTGGCCAATAATCAAAATCGACTTAAACCGTTTTACCCCTTCGCTACTGATATATGTGCGGCTGGTCAATATGTTGTCCAGAGTCACCTAAATCATTTGATGTTTTGTAATATCAAAACTTCTGTAGAAGGACTAGATAAAATCCTGTCAGATTTCTTATGGAATGATGTTCTGGCAAATGCAGACTTCATGTAAAATTTCTTTTAAGATTTCGAATTTCCTTTACACTGAGAGAAAAAATATACTTCCTCAAACAAATCTTTTTTGATCCAAAAAAATTACTAGTTAAAAATTACCAAAAAAATTAAATCTAGTGCTGACCATTTGAGGATTGGCCGATGAAAATAGAGTGTGGACTCATTTTTCACAGATTCATTGCCTAGGTATTTCGGGAAAACGAGCGTTGAGAATTTCATTTTGGATTGGAATGGAGACTCAGAGGAGAATTGTTTTCCTTTCTATCATAGTTATTATTATGTAACCATTTTTGTATGTATAAGTTTACGAAAACCTAATCTCTCTAGAATTATTCGGTTATTACACTGAGAAATTTTTTTTCTAAGAAATAGAAATTCTATGATTGATCCAAATCGTTCATCGATTGAATAGCCGCAAACGAAAATGCTATTGTAAGACACAAATATCGATTTGAACTAAACCAAAATTGGATTGTATGAAATCGATTTTGTTATAGTATAGTATATTTTGTTTATTCTATCGAATTTAGAAAATACTTGTTTTTGCGACAAAATCGATTTCATACAATTCAATTTTGGTTTAGTTCAAACGCTTCGGATTTGGCGCAAATAATTTTTTTTTCACAATTGCAATGGAAAAATAATCAGTTCAAATGATGAAGAATTGCGTTTGTCGTAAACATGAAACTGTTCACCGCGAAAGTCTCGCATCAATGAGTATCCAACAATATGGTCCTCATAGACGAAATGAATATTTTATTGCATCTATGAATTCTGCTTTCAATAGAACAGATATTCTTTTGCGGGATATCGTGACGCTGATAAATTAGATAATTACATGCTTTATTCGAAGAAGATATCTGATAATACAGACATTGATTCTGAAAAGTAGATAGTAAAAAAAAAAGTTTAGATAACTGATCTCATTCGTTTTCAATCGAAAACATTAAAATTAAATCGATATTTGTGTCTTACAATAGCATTTTCTTTTGCGACTATTCAATCGATGAACGATTTGTATCAATCATAGAATTTCTATTTCTTAGAAGTTTCTTTTCTCAGTGTATAGAGGAAAGAATTGTTCAATACTTCGGTCTGGTAACTGGTTTTCGTATATTTTCTGGAGCGCATTTTGCGATTTAATCGAAAAATAATAGGTTTAGAAAAAAATGTCATAAGACTTGTTCTGCAGAAAAATTAGACAATTATCTCTTGCCATTATTTTTCTCAACCTACTTGTCTCGCAGTTAATCCTCTAATGGACTTCCAAGAACTCCGAAAAAACTCTATCAAAACCACCAGTAAAATCTGGAATTGATAGATCCAGTAAATAGATATCTCATTTTCTGGAAGGAATAGCGGAATTCGCACAGACCTCATCTGTTCCTCTTTGTTGATTTCCACTCTGTTGATCTAGAGTTATTGGTAATAAAATACGCTCCATTTGCCCTACTCTCCTCTAGTGATTTCGAGAAAGAAATCAGAGAGTTTAACACCTCATTAAACACGAAATTATCCGTATAATGAGGAACTGCAGTAGAAAATGTCAGAAAACGGTTTTATCGAAATTTTTCCTGCGAAAATAATTCATCTAGGTGGATTTAGATGAATCTATCAGGACCTAACAATACATGGATTTTTTGTTTGCAGTCAAAATTTGTGTTGTCGAGATTTCTCGCGATGTTTCGAAATTAAAAAAGAAATATACAACATTTTTCATCTGATTATTGCATTTCAGTAGCGAAGTGGTAAAACGGTACAAGTCACTTTTGACTATTGACCAGTATTCAATGAACATCTCGAAATCTAAGGGAGATAGCAAAACTGTTGTTATAACCTTTTTTTTAGAGCCGATTGAGTGCTACAACAAATGTGATTACGAAAATTTCGTTATCTCCCTTAGATTCGGAAATATTCCTCAAAAACTCAACTGAGAGATAAGTGGACTTGAACCGTTTTACCACTTCGCTACTGATTTCAGTGTTTTATTCGATGGGGATTTCTTTGGGCTCAGTCTACTAACCCTCTTCTCTCTCTCCTTTCAACATTGGCTTTAACCAATGTTAAAGTAGTATAAGAGGTACCGCTGAGCCTTACCCTCTTGGAAATTCTTGGCGATTTTTTCTACGATTGGGGGAGTTGAAAAACTATCTCTCAAATTTTTTCAGATTTTTTCGGCAGCCCAGTTCGGAGATATGATTTTTCCTACATTTTTCCGTTTTTTCCCAATAACTCGAGTTCTATTTGTCCAATTTTGATTTAGTAGGCGTCAAAATTTTCCATTTTTTACCATCTATACGACTATTTCCAGTAATTTTTTTTTTCGATTCCTAGATCATAATAACAAATTTTCGAAAAAAAAGTTGAAGAAGTTGAATTTTGCAATTTACGTCATTTTTTATTTGTTTCACTTTTTTTTTAGTAATTCTTATAATCAAAACAAGTATTTTGACCAGTCATTCAACTTGGGAATCCTCCTGGAACTATTTTATTTTTAATTTTTTCTTTTAGAAATTTCGCAAATTTGGTCAAAACACCTCAAAACGACTTCGATTATGTATCGAAAAATATGCAATATATAGGTATATAGTCAAATTCACTTCATACTGTTTATAATCAAAGCTAATCAACGCCATTTTGGGGTGTTTTTATCAAATTTGTTGAATTTCGGAAAGAAAAAATTGCAAATAAAATGGATCCAGGACGATCCCCAACTCGTATGATAGCTCAAAATACTTGTTTTGATTATAAGAACTATTGAAAAAAATGAAATAAATCAAAAGTGACATAATTTGCAAAATTCAACTTTTTCAACTTTTTTTTTCCAAAAAATTCGTTACTATGAGCATCTGAAGATCGAAAAAAAAAATTTCGACCTTTCGAAAATTTTGACGCTTAATAAATCAAAATCAGATAGAGAGAACTCGAGTTATTGAGAAAAACGAAAAAACGAGACAAAAATCATATCTCCTACTGGGTTGCCGAAAAAATCTGAAAAAATTTGAGAGATAGTTTTTCAAACCCCCCAATTGTAGAAAAAGTCGTCATCAATTTCCAAGAGGGTGAGGGTCAACGGTTGACTCAATTTGAATTTTGCAGATTAGCATCTGAAATAAATTTTCAACGAAAGTTAATATCAATAGAAACATTCTGGTTGAGTTTGTACTCAATCGACAGTCTATTAATATTGGTAATAATTAATCTTGAAGTGCAAAAATAACGGGGAGTCTTATGAGAAAATGAATTTTTCGTGGTTAAAGAGAAGATTAAAATCTAGAATAAAACTCAAAGAATCAGAAAAAATGAACAAAAATTCGATGTCCAATATGAAAATTATCGTTTGTGTCAAAGTTGTGTAAATAATTTAGGTCTGCGTGTCCGAAATGGGTTGTTATATCGAAACATGCTAATCAAACCAAAGATTGTTTACAAAAAAATTGAAGAAACAATTTTGCGAAGCAAATTCTTGCACCCATCAAAGTTAGAATTCATGGGAAAAATTATCAATTGTGGGTAATTTTTTTCTGAGCCTTTTAAATTTATTTATCCTCGCACACTCAACGACTCACCTGCACTTTATCCATATTACTTTAAAACCGATATCAGCAATAGAATATGGAATCAATAAATATGAAATCAAAAAAAAAAATTTTTTAAAGTTGGGGAACTCATTATTCATAGTAAAAATGCGAATTAAAAATTTTGAAAAATTCAGATAATTTCCGATGGAAAATAGTGACCTACAGATTTTTTTAAAATTCAGTTACGTGAAAACTGTAAAAACAAAAAAATGAGAAAAACGCAAAAATACGTGTTTTCCTGTTAATTCCGTAGCAAAAGGTCTGAAATGTTCACAGTTTACTCATTTCACTATGGTTAACAAAACATAAACGAAGATCCAAAATCGACCCTTGGAGGCTCAAAACCCATGTCATTTTTTCTGAAACTATCTCACATACATCTTCCTTAGAGAATCAAGTGAGTTCTCCGCCCTAAAAGAACCCATTCAATCAATCTTGTTCCAGCATAAATGTAAACCCGACTCGCCGCTGACAGCCCTCCAGCGATGCAATGGAGGCAAAGCCCTGCGACCCCTACGAGCAGCAACTCTTCAGCGTCTTCGAGTCCTGCCTCGAGCCCGGCCACTCCCACCTCTCCCCATCCGCCCTCCGTTCCCTCTGCGACAAGCTCCAACTGGAGGAGCGCGGTGAGGACCTAATCACCTCCCTACTCTCCACTCACCCCCTGAAAAACCCTAAAATCTCATTCACAGATTTCAAAAACGGCCTAGTCACCTTCCTCGGCAGCACCGAATCCCCAGACTTCGAGGCGCCCCCAACAATCACCAATCCCCTCAAAGAATCCCCTCCCAACTCCCCCAGGAAGCATGGACACTGGTCAAACTCCCTAGAATCCCAGCGACTCCGTCAATTCTGCTACAAATTCAACGGCACCATGAACGGAACCCAAAACCCAGACTGTCCAGACCCAGAGACACCCCTGCTCTCGAAGCACCTGCTCGAGAGTCTCTTCGAGAAACTGGACATGGACTGCGACGGTCTCATAAACTTCTCAGACTTCACGATGCTCTTCCAGAACAGTCGCAACCTCCAGGACTCCCTCAGCACAGACTTCACGAGGCTCCACTTGAACGACTCGACGCACGAGAAGAACCCCAGCAGCATTCTGGGCCCAGAGCAGACAGGCTTCCTCGATAAATCAAGCGTGATAACCCTCTGGGAGCTGGCGGGAGTCACCGACCCCAAGAACCTCCTGTCTGATCTGGGTTTCTCCTCGTCGGAGATCAGCCTGACTGAGCTGGTGTCGGTCCTCAATGACGAGATCAAGAGTCTTCAGCATGATTCAATACCACCTACTGCTAGAACGCACATGAACCTGCTGAAAGGTATGTCATGGTTTAGGGGAGGGTAGGGTAAAATGAACACTTGACTTTTTAAAAAATACTCATAACTCAGAAACAGATTTATCAATTGAGGTCAGTCTAAGCTCATCACAAAGAGGAATCATTGTTTTTCAATTGGAAAATAAATTTATTCCATTTCATGAACATTTCATGAACATTTCATGAACATTTCATGAACATTTCATGAACATTTCATGAACAAAAAAAGGCAAAAGTGTCCGTTTTACCCTACCCTCCCCTATATTTAGTCAACACTTTTCACAATTTTTTGAATAACATTGTTGTAAAGCTCTGGAAAAATCTGACAAAATTTAACATCTCATCTTCGGGTGTCTTCGGAAGCCTTAGCAAATAGAATTTTAATTATAATTTCTTTCTTCAATGAGATACAGCAATTTTTATGTTGAGATTTTACTTGATTTAAGGGGAGACGGAAGCCCTTTGTCTACATCAAATCTTAGAATTGTGTTTTCTCCTACAATTATTAATTTCTGTCTACGAAATTACTTTATCAACTCGATTATCGCATTGTTGAGTCAATAAAGTAGTTTAATGAATAAAAAATAATAATTGCAGGAGAAAACACAATTCTAAAGATTCATATGAACGCAGGGGCTCCGTTTCTCCTTAAGGCCCGGGTGTACTATCTTTCGAACGTTATCTCGATGTTTTTTTTTCATCTTTCGTCATCTGAAATTGTTAATTAACTCCTGCAGTAATAATATTTGATTGGTGGGGCTGAATGGTATTTGGCGAGGCAGTCATTTACCGAGGGAATGGCATTGGATGATTGTGTTTACGATGCGGTATTCGTTGGAATATGATACACTGAGAGAATAACGACAGAGTTTTCAAATAAGTCTTGCTTGTGCCAAGAAAATTGTTTTTTGTTCTTTTCTCCACAGGTGCCTTAGTAATCTACCAAGAAGAAGTTCGATCCTTGAACACGATCGGTGATCAATTGCGAGGCGAACGGGATAAACTGCGAACGGACGTTGCAGAGGCGAACGAGCGAGCGAGTCTCCTGGCCCAAGAAATCGATGAGAATCACATAAAGCTCGAGAAATCCCGAAAGGAGCAGATCAAGCAATTGGAGCTGAAGCACACAGAAGTGATAAGAGAGCTAACCCACCAGAACAGTTCAGAACGCGAAGCCCAGTCCCTCACGATGAAATCCCTGAGCGAACAGGTGCAGAGCCTCCAGCAAGAGGAGCAGAGCATCAGATCTAAGTTGGCAAGTGCCCTGAACGAGAACCACGCCTTGGAGCTTGAGAACCAGGGACACCTGGAGCAAATCTCCAAGCTGAAGCACTCCAACAATCAGTTACTCCGGAAGGTCCAGATCCTAGCAGCTGAGCACGACGAGGCAGTCCAGAACGACGAACGTGAGAACGAACAGGTGATTTCCCTCGTCGAGAGGATAAAGACCCTCCAGGCAGAGTCAGCCCTCCTGCGAGACCAGAACGACGAATTGACGTCAGAGCTAGAAGCCCTGAAGAGTCGAAACATGGAGATGAAGAACAGAACCCTGGGCTTCTCGAAGCTAGACCTTTCCGATGGGTCTGAAGGGCCCAACTCAGTCTGCGATTCAGAACCCCTGGCTGACCAGGCCCCAGAGCTGAAAGAAGAGAGACAACTGGACTCTGTGGACTCACAGGGCTCCAATGTCACTTGGCTGCAGACTGATGAGGCGAGTAGATTAATCAGGGACCTGAAAACAATTCTCGATGACTCCAGTGTCCCACCGGAGATGACTCTCTCCAGGCACAGGGAGAAGATTCCAGAGCTCTTCAGTAACCTGGAGACCCTCCTCGAGGGATTACTGAGGACTGCAGACAGTATTAAACCAGAGAAGAATAGTCTTAAAGACGAGGTCAACGAGTGTGAAGAACGAACCAGTGAGTCACTTCGAGATCTGGTGATTAATAAAACGGAGTCGTCTAAACTAGTTAAGAGGATATCAACCAGCGATGGGACGATTAACATCGATAAGAACTTTAATAACCTAGAGACGAAGGGAAAGCACAAGAGCCTGAGGGATTATCCCCCCAGGAAGGACGAGAGTTCCCATTCCTCTTTGGAGGGTAAACTCGATAGAGAGAATTCTCTGAAGGCACCAGTGGATCCAGCTGAAGGGGAGGACTTGGTCGATGGGAATGATCTGGAGGCGATCAGACAGGACAGGGATCGACTGACTTCACTGTTGAAAGAACAGGAGCTGAGGCACAACAACGAAAAGCGAATTCTTCAGGATCAATTGTCAGAGCTTGAGAAGTCCCTGGACTCCCTCAGGACTGAGTACTACCAGTGTGAGGACTACTGGGCTGGAAAACTGGAGGAGGAGAGACAATTGATAGAGCAGGAGCAGAAAATAAGTGATGATAAGTTGGCTGAGTTGATAGCAAAAATCGCAGAGTATGAGGAGCAGTTCAGCATGGGAGATAAATCCAGAAATGATGGACGATTGTCGCCCATTGATGAGAAGTTTAATCTCGAGCAGCAGTACGTGGACCTCCAGGAGGAGCTTGATGAGTTCAAAGTGAAGAGCGAGGAGGCTTTGGCTCAGAAGGACAGGGAGATCATGGAGCTGGAGGAGAAGGTGGCAAAGAGGGAAGTTGAGAGGACTGACATGGCTGTTCAGACTGTCGAGCACAGATTGGTGAGGAGATCTGCCAGTCTCCCCAGTGGATATCCCCAAGTTCCTGGGGACGGTGGCACTGGAGGGACTCCTGTGAGTCCTACAGGTGCCACTATGAAGATTTATCATAATAGTCAGAAGCTTTTCGAGCCTGGGAAGCTCAATCAAATAGCTGAGCACTCGATTTCGTCTAATGAATTACTGTTTGTGCCCAGCAGGATTAATTTGGGGTGTTATTGCCAGCAGTTTGATAATTATTCTGGGATCGAGGGGGAGATACAGAGGCTGATACAGAGGAAGGTTGAGGTGGAGAGTGAATGCAGCTCTCTGGTGAAGCAGAAGGAGCTTTTGTTCAAGGAGATTCTTGAGATGCAGAGTCTCAAGGGGGGACAGTTCTGCTCTACTGACGTGATAATGAAGAATTTGACCTCGAAACTGCAGAGCCAGGAGAAGAAGGTCAAGTCCCTGCAGGGGATCATCAAGCAGCAGAGGATCTGCACTGAGAGGCTCATGGAGAAGGTGTGGAAGCAGCACAAGAGTGAAGTGGAGGGTCTGCAGATGATTGTTAAGAACACTCAGGAATCACTGCAGAATCAGATTCAGGTGAACTCGGGGAATGTTGAGAGACTGGGGAAGATCGATATGGTGATGAAGGATCTTTGGGTTGAGAATGCCTTCTTGAAGAAGAAGCTGGAGAGGGAGGGACTCTGCGAGCATCGCCATGTTGTCAGCAACTGCAGCACTGAATCAACGTCCGTATGACCGTTTGTGCATTATTATGGGGGTAAAATTAATTTAATGGGGGGCGAGCGGCTCAGGGAGTATCGTTTATGGATATGTCAATTGAGATATATTTTTGTAAACAGTCTGGGGAGATTGTTCATTGATGATTATTGATTTCAGGGGGACGAGGGTTTTTTTTGGGTTCTGGAGTTTAAATTTTTTGTAGGATAAGTGTTGGGATTTGAGAAGAACTTTTCTCAGACTTATATTGTTGTTATGGAAGGTGGGGGGATTAGCGGTGCTGATGAATTTATATTTTGTTGAGGGAGGGGGGTAAGAGGTGAAAAGAGAAAAATTGAATAATTAATATTGTTACAGATGGCTGGGAAGCTTTTGGATTTAGAGAAAAATGTTGAGATATTTCGATTTTGGGAATTACTAAAATAGTCCTTTAGTAGTTTTCAAAATAGTGTGACATAGAATTTTGGAAAACTTGGATTTTTCATTTAATTTCCAATTTATTTGGAAAATTGGCTTTGTAAAGATCTTACAAATATAGATTTCAGTTTGTAGAAATGTCTAGAAATCAGTAGCGAAGTGCTCAAAGGGTTTAAGTAGATTTTGGCTGTCGGCCAGTTTCCAATGCATATCTCGAAATCTAATTGAGATAGCGAAATTTTTTTCATAACATTTTTAGTAGCACTCAATTCGCTTTACAAAAAAGGTTATTATGAAAATTTCGCTATCTCCTTAAATTCGGAAATATTTCTGGAAACCTCAACTAAAGACTAAATTAACTTAAACCGTTTGACCACTTCGCTACTGAAATATTCTTTATGAGAAATTCTATGGACTAAAAAATGATTCTTCGATATTTTCCTCTGAATCAACTAGTTTTAGATATTTAAAAAGTTGAGTTTACAGTTTCTCCTGCAAAAATCTCTGAAATAAAAAGGTACAGAGAAAAATGTCAGAAGATTGATTTTGGAAATTGCATAATTCTCCTCAAAAAAATTATTTGATGTTTTTCTCCAAATCGAACAGTTTTGGAAATATGAAACAATTAAGGTTGACAAGTTTTAAAATTTTTCTCTTTCCACCCTCTTACTGCAGAATCAAATCAGGAATTGATGTCTCTTTGATACCTCGGTGTGTCATATTCCATGCTTGATTAATTTCTTTCCACAATGATATTTTGTATTATAAATGAATTGTATTATAACGATAATTTTGGATTACTCGATTAATCTTCTGCCATCAATGTGACTTTCCATGAAAATGCACTTGCACAGGTGATTAACTGATGAATTATTTTCAAGCGATATTTTGATACTATTGTCTGTAGGCTAATTATCAATTCATCAATTATGGATGACACTATTTGTATGATATGTTGATTGAGAGCTTCAGTCGAGAAAAATGTACAGTTTATATTTTTTAAGCAATTTTTCTTTTCTATTTAGCAAATTCTTGTAGTAAGCTCTTTGAACCGTGAAAATGTCGATTGATTTCTTGAGTATTCTAGGTAATGCAAAGTGAGTTGCACATTGTGTCGGAGTAGTTTAGGTTCAATTGAAAATTTCTGAAAATTCTAGAGATTCCGGAAAAATTGATCAAATGGAGTGGTGAAATGAATGGAATTAGATTCTTTTGAATTGCTCATTCATATCAGTAAATAATTCGAGAAAAAAATGTCAGAACATTTTTCGCATTTAAAATCAATTCTGGAATGTCACTCGTTTACGAGAAATGCCCATTAAAAAGAAAAATCATATCCATCTTTTCATTCATTTCATTCTAATAATTATAAAATGAGTTTTTTTTTTTATGAAAGACATCCAAACGGTTCCGCGTAGCTACAGACGTCATTAAAAAAATAATCTTTTTGAGCTTTGAAGATGTGAAAAATAATGAATTCTGGTTGATTGGGACATACAAAGATTACTTTAATGTAACAAAACTGAAATTAATCTATTTCATAAATCAGTAGTGAAGTGGTCAAAGGGTTTAAGTCAATTCTATTGTAGTGCCAGTTCTCAATGAATATCTCAAATCAAAAAGGAGTTAGCAAATTTTTTCTAAAAATCTTTTTTGTAATCTTCCTTAAATTCCGTGTTATTCAACAACAACTCAACTGGGATTAAGTCGACTTAAACCGATTGACCACTCCACTACTGAAATACTAATCATCATTTCAATAGCTGAGTGGTAAAACGATTTCAGTCGATTTAGCCCTTGGCTGAGTTTTCGAGGAATATCTCCAAATATGAAGGAGATAGCAAAATTTTTGTTGAAACACTTTTTGTTGCCCCCAATTCACTCTACAAAAAAGGTTATTACAAAAATCTCATTATCTCCCTTAGATTCGGAGATATTCCTCAAAAACTCAGCTGAGAGCTAAATCGACTTGAACAGTTCTACCGTTTTGCTTCTGAATTCTTCAAAAATTCGTGATAATTTTGCACCTGTCTCATCGATAAGCCATTTTACGAGGAAATATAGAAAGATTTGACATTCTTCTAAAATTCTTTACTGATGAGGTAATGTTTACTTTAGCAAAATAACAGAGTTGTTCTTCTGTGTTATGTTTCATCCATATCACACTTCACTGATCAATAAAAAAATCAATAGGCGATAGTGAAAAAATTGTTGATCTGATTAGAATATTTGTACTCAAACCCGATTAGTGACGATGAAGAAAGCGTAACAATTTCAAAAATTAGAATTAAAAATTGAAGATTCAAATTTCGTAGATATATAGATGAATAATCAAAAATAATTTGTAACAATTCCCACTGTATCCATCGTCGATGATTACTCACGATTTAAGGCTGAATGCGTTCCAAGGGTGAACAAGTGTTCTTGGATTATAAAATTAAACAGCACTTGGCAATAATGAATCATAGACTGAACCCTCGAGAGCAATTGTATACGGTGTTAACTAATTTCTCTAATTTTTTTTTATAAAAAAATTTAGAACGATTGTTTGAATGATTTCTAACTAATTTATCTTGTACACAAATAGTTATTTAAGAAATCAAACGTTGTACATGCATTCCTCTTTACACTCACCAATAAATAAAAAGAATTATTTAAATGAATGGATGTGGGTGAATTGAACCAACTGATTCTGCTTTTTTCATCAATTTTTTTATTTAAGATTTTATTTTTTATAAATTAGACATACGACTCGGGGAATTCGAATGTCACATCACGTCCCGTGAGCTTCTTGTAGACGGCTCCAAAGGTGTCAACCTGCAAAATAGCAATTGAAGAAGACAAATTAATTCTTTGGTTCCAAAATGTTTTCCAATGAGATTTAATAATTCGTATGAGTTAATTTTTTTCTAACTGCAGATAGATGAATTTTCAATGTCAATTCTTCAATCAACATTATAATTAAGAATCAAAAAATAAGTTCAAGATTACATGAAAGTTTTTCCAAACGAATCGAATATTCTATTCTATATTTTTCGATGAATTTTCAAAGTGGCTTAATTATCTCACAATATTTCCAAGTTATAAAATCGTGTAATTATTTCAAGAAAAAATCGATGGAAATGAAAATGTCAGGAGACACTTTGTAGGCGACGAAAATCGAAAAGAAAGACGTTCCTGGTATTTCGTGCTAAAACCAAATGTCCTCAAATTATCTGACATTGATCAATGAAAATATAAATAATTTGTCATATTCTAGCACAATTATAACGGAATTTAGTGACAGTCGTTAAAAAAAATTTAATGAGTCGTTAAAAACTGACAAAAAAAATATTTCTACCAAATAACTATTTATGTTGAGGAGAGCATGACCTTGAATTAACTCTGAAATATTTTTAAATGAAACTATAAATAATTTGTCATATTCCAGCACAATTACAACTGAATTTAATAATACGAAAATCGTTAAAAGCTGAGAAAAAAAATTATTTCTACCAAATAACCATTTATTTTAGAACATGATCTTCAATTAACTCCCTCAATTATTATTCACTTTTCGAATGTTTCCAATTAAGGAAATTTGCATTAATTTTCTATTTTAATTAATTCGTAGTTCAGTAGTTCATTCAAGGTCACGTGCGACATAATTATGCCATGATGGATCATGATTATACCGAGTGCATTATTGAGGAAAGATTACTCTAAAACGAATATTTATTTGGCAAAAGTATTTTTTTTCTCAGTGAGGATTTTGGGGATAATTTCCCTTGGATTGAAATAAATTTGTCTACCTTGTGCTCAATGTTCGTCTGTTCATTCTTGTCCAAATGAACTTTGATTAATTGAGAACCATCAAGCTTAACTCGGATTCGCTTTCCAACAATCTCGACTGGGTAGACAAGATCCTCCAAGAGTGCATCGTACACTGCAGTGAGGGTTCGGCTCCTTGGCCTCTTCTGCTTGTTCTTTGTACGTGTCTTTCTCGTTGGTTTGGGCAAGATTTTCCTCTCACCAACGAACATCACGTGTTTGCCAGAGAATTTCTTCTCAAGCTCACGTACCAATCGCGTCTGAATCTTTTGGAAAGCCTTGAGTTTGGGCATTGGGACGTAGATGATGATGGACTGGAATTAAAATAGAAGGAACAAATCGTAAATATCATAAATCATAACTATAATAAAAAACAAATCATAAAAATCATTAATATAGTGGAGAGGGTAAGGCGTTTTCTATGAATACAGTCGTCTGGAGTCGAATTTTCATGAAGCCAGTCTAACAAGCAAAAGAGAATGGAATGCCATTCTATGAGACATGAATAAACGAATTATCATTGTCCAAATCTTTTGGATCAGAGGAAAATAGAATAATTTTACTTTTTTCATATTGTGTTAACTATTATTAAAGTTTTCTTCAAACAAAGTTGATTAGAATTAATAGCTAGAATTATGAGGTTATTTCACGTTTTTTACGTCGAGGATAGGAGAATCTGAATGCAATATAGTGATAATGACATTTTCACTTTGAACAAATAACGTCAATATCCAAATACGAAATTTGTGATATCAATAAATAGAAGCTGTGACTCAATATTCAAAATTAACTTTTAATGTTTAATTTGATGCTAAAAACACACTGAATTCCAGAAATTCACACTCTAAAGTGTTTTCTAGAAGAAATTGAATTGTAATTATGATTAAAATCTTATTCAGTGAGCATAGGAATTAGAACATGAGCAAATCATTAAAGTAGCTCTACCCTTCGGCCGGGCTACGCTACACTTTTGGATATTTTCAGTTTTTAAATTTTTCAACTAAATTGCATGGAAAAAATTTGAAAGAATTCATACCCAGTTAGTATTATTTAAATTAAATTTGGCAAAATAGTGATATTTTTTCAAACATTTCCCTCTTATAAATAAATAATAAAACTTGTTTGCAAAACGGTGGATTATTTTTTATGAGGTGTCAAAAAAATTCTTGATTTTTTCACATCTAACGAAAAAAAAAATCAGATTTTAATCCTCGATTACAATGGAAATGTTGATTTTCACATAAGACACTGGGTTTAATCCTGATTTTTAAACATTTCTCCTTTGAAAAACCAAAACGATAATTAAACTGAGAAAAAAATTGGAATTCCGAATCTAATCGAGTTTTCTGCAATTTTTTGCAGTTTTCAATAATCTTTTGGATATTTTCAGTTTTTAAATTTGTCAACTAAATTGCATGGAAAAAATTTGAAAAAATTCATACCCAGTTAGTATTATTGAAATTAAATTTGGCAAAATAGTGATATTTTTTCAAACATTTCCCTTTTATAAATAAATAATAAAACGTGTTTGCAAAACGGTGGATTATTTTTTATGAGGTGTCAACAAAATTCCTGATTTTTTCACATCTAACGAAAAAAAAAATCATCTTTTAATCTTTGATTACAATGGAAATGTTGATTTTCACATAAGACACTGGGTTTAATCCTGATTTTTAAACATTTCTTCTTTGAAAAACCAAAACGATAATTAAACTGAGAAAAAAATTGGAATTCCGAATCTAATCGAGTTTTCTGCAATTTTTTGCAGTTTTCAATAATCTTTTGGATATTTTCAGTTTTTAAATTTGTCAACTAAATTGCATGGAAAAAATTTGAAAAAATTCATACCCAGTTAGTATTATTGAAATTAAATTTGGCAAAATAGTGATATTTTTTCAAACATTTCCCTTTTATAAATAAATAATAAAACGTGTTTGCAAAACGGTGGATTATTTTTTATGAGGTGTCAACAAAATTCCTGATTTTTTCACATCTAACGAAAAAAAAAATCATCTTTTAATCTTTGATTACAATGGAAATGTTGATTTTCACATAAGACACTGGGTTTAATCCTGATTTTTAAACATTTCTTCTTTGAAAAACCAAAATGATAATTAAACTGAGAAAAAAATTGGAATTCCGAATCTAATCGAGTTTTCTGCAATTTTTTTGCAGTTTTCAATAATCTTTGAATTTACCGTAAGGGTAGAGCTACTTTAATTGTGATATTAAAATTTAACAGCTTAGCAATTGGGACATTTGCAATGAGAATGATTAAAAACCATTAATTTAAAAACGAAATATGAAATCTGACAGAAAAAAGGGCATAATGAAAGTGGCACTAGTGGTAAATAAATAAGATGTAGTTTTTTTAAATATCCATAAAGTAGAAAAACTTACTTTCTTGTTATTCGTCTCAATTTCACGAGCTTTAGTGATGTAAAGCTCACGAAGTTGTGATTTAAGATCGGAGTTCATCTCGAGGTCCAGCAGGGCCTGGGAGATACTGGCCTCGAATGCATCGGGCTCGGCACCGCCGGCTTTGATGATTTTGGCGCTTGCCGTGAACATCTGAAGTGATAGAAATCAAAAATTCATTTTGATTGGGGATAGCGAAAGGTGTCTAGTAAGAGATTTGAATTAAGAATTTTATGACTAAAGTGAAGTATTGTTTATAATTTTCAGTATCTGTTTTATATATTTCAAATACTCTAAGTATTTCTGGAGTTTATTTAGTCGTAATAGTCAGGAAAGTTACATTGGATTCGGTTTAGAGAAACGAAAAATGATGAAATTTCAAATTTTACTGAAAATTGAATAGAATTCCAAATCGTTCACAAGCAGAAAGACGAGAATTCTCTAATTGACTCAAATTTTCAATCAAAACATGAATTGCTTGAAAATTCAATTATTTATTTGACCTGAATTCCCATGAATTTTTCATCAAATTGTCAATTTTTTCATTCATCTAAAACAGAGACGACTTCAGGAAAAATTCCAAGAGAACTTCGTACCCAATCAAATTTCCCACAAAAAGGACCTCGACATTTCCTCTTGGAATCATAAATTATTGAGATAACTTTATCGACCATTTATCGAAATGTTGATTTTGGAGTGAAGCAGTGAAATGTAGTTGAATTATTCTAAATCAAATTCAGTCAGACTCGAAATGACCAAGAGAATATCACGGTGGCCCTCCTTTCTTCTCCGAGAGTTCTTCCTCGAAAACTCATGCTAGCACTAATTTTTCCCCTTTCATTTTACTCTCATGTCCCTCTATTAATTCTATTTATAAAGAAAAAAAAGTATTGAATATTTAATTTCCTTTAATCATAATGTGTACATGGATAGAACTTTACTAATAGATTATTATTCTAGCAATAGCTTGACTCATTCACAATACCAATGACCCCCTCTTTTCATTATTATCAACAGTTGTGGAAGCATTTTATTTTAATTATTGGTAATGTTATACCCACGCATATGTAGTTTTATTATTAATGGAAATTAAATATTGAGTAATTGTTATTCTATGTAGATGTCATTGATTGGGGGAATTGGAAAGGAAAAAAAGGGAAATAAAATAGTTGGGAGGGAAAAAAGTTGGGGAAATTTTCTCGGAGAAGACAAGTCGGTAAACTAATGTCACAAACATTTATGAAAAATTTATATAGCCATAAGGGCCTATCGTTTGGCACTCTCTCTTGAAATCACTGGCTTCCGAGATTTATTTCCATCTATTTTGAACCACTTCACCACAGAATTCACCCCAGTCGAATGGAATAAACTGCATAATTAATCTGCAACTGATTTTCTTTCGACATTAATCATCTCCACTCATTAACATTGAAATGTTTGATACTCCAAACCTCCACAAGACAATACAATTATAAATACAATTCCCGACAACTCGTATTTGTCACTTTACTTCACTCAACAGCAGAAATATCAAATTCAATTAGATATGAGATTGTTTTGATTGCTGGAACAAAACTAAATGCAACAATAAGATGGGATTGACTCCCCGAGGAGGTTATGACACTGTTGACATTTACATGAACCCTTCAAACTGTCTTGAACAATTAACCCCAATAATCAAAATAATTATCGATAATCACTCTTGCATAGGAGAGAAGCCGCAGCCGAATGCATCAAAAAATTTCTTACAGTTATCAAACCAATTTAAAGGGCCGAATTCGGTGTTTGAAAGCAGGCAAATCCTGAGCTGAATATCCCTCACAATAATCCACTTGGATCTAAAAAATCCTCAGACATCCATGAAAAAACCGAGGACCGTTGTATAAATTAATCTTTCGTCTCCAAGTTGTTCACTTGATTTTTCTCCATTTCTGTCTAAATTTATCAATAATCATTCGCTTTTATTAAATAACGTACCTTGTTCTGCTCGCAGTCGCGTGGAAAGGGTCACGGGGAAAACAAATGTAACAGATGTGCCGTTTCCTCAAAAAAAAATCACCAGTGGCGCCACCTGTTGAGCCAGCAGACGACTAGAAAAATTTGACACTGAAAATTATTTTATCACTAATGAACATTTCCAAACATTAAACAACATTTTCAGTGAATACACAAAATCGTAAATAATTTCGAAAATGAGAGAAAATTATGGCTTTGAATAAATTGAAAATTTTGTAATTTGTGTTTGAAAACTTCACTTCGAGTTTCCCCTCTACTCGAAGTTCTCCCACTTCATGCGCCGATTTTTAATGGCTGCGTAGAACTTCGCCAAACTTCGCCTCGTCCATCTTTCACTGACTTTTCGAAGGCACTTCGGAGCACGGTAATTACTGATATTTCATTATTACATTGATTAATTTAACTATTATTGAGGTATAAAACGAATAAATATGAAGTTTAGTCATTAATTGACGATCGGAGATGATCGATTGTCAATGTAATTGATTGAATCCAGAGGACAGGGTCTCGACGACGATTAGGTAATCGTTCGAACCACCAACTCTGTGCGATAACACTTGCGACAATCAGATCAGATGTTGAGGATTTGTCAGGCGAATTTGAGATTTATGAAATTGTCCCCATTTTCGGACCTTTCAAGGCATCTCGGCGTATTTAAATGCTATGGTTTGAGCTGTGAGGCCTACGAGTGGCAATGTTGTTATATGTTCTGGTACATGTTTCAGAAAATGGCAGGCAGGTACCTTGTGACGGTTTTGCGCAGGGGAAAGCCGACGGCAGGGGTGAGATTCTATTCTGACGATGAGCCCCCACTTCGTTACAAGATTGGTAAACGCGAGATAGTTGGCTATGGTCTCAACGGGACTGAAAGTTACTTGGATCTGGAGGAGTGCCCCATGCCTGCTATTCGCTACAAGGAGGTCACCCCTGAGATTCAGGTGAGGCGGAGCACGTCTAAAAACTTCCCCTAGTGGAAAAACCTAAGGCAGAGGCGTAACATGCCTGATCAGAATTTCGGATCGGACTTGATCAGTTTCTGATCGAGACCTGAACAGAATTTCCACTCGGGTCACTGAGAAAAAACATTATTTTTGCCAAATGTTCATGTACTTGACAGAAACATTCATGTTTTCAAATTCGTATTCCTTCAGTCGAGCCTTATCGAGTATTATCAGTTTAATATATCACCCTTTTAAGTATTGAACGCGCGAATGGTTGTTGAGAACTTTATCCTTCATATCCTTCGTCCAGTGAGCGAATCCTCCGTGAGCTCACGGCAGAAGTTAGTCGAGGTTGGATCTAACGGAAAACGATTCAAAAGGGATCAGAACAAGTGCATTTATTTGAGTTTAACCCCAGGGCTAAACTCAAAACGTTATAGAAGAATAATAATGATGTGATAGCAATCTTGTAACTTAGGAACAAAATATTTCTTGATAAATTTTCCTCTATATGAGATATTTTCATCCTGAAAAGGCACCGTCTCGGGTGAATAATCGGCCTCTTGAGCCAAATATTTCGTTGTTGTCGAAAGCGGAGTAATTATTCATGTTTGAGACTTTCAAATTCGGACCAAACGAATTCCTTTTTGACAATTTTCAACTAGCGATTTTATTGGCCCAAACAAGACTTCTTTGAGATCAAATTCATTGACGAATGTCAATGAATTTACTGAAGCAGATCTTGGCTTAATAATGGAGAGATTATCTTTAAATTTTCCCTACTTCTAAATCCTTTTAACAACTTCTTTCTGTCCATCATGTCTTATTATATGAACAAATAATTTCTTGGATATATCTGAAGCTAGTGGGCTCTCATAAAAATGTAAAGACACCTTTGACAGACGATTTTCATAGCTGAAGAAGAAGTGTGGACTTCAAGAATCGTCATACTCTCGGAAATTGTTGTGACATTCTGTGCAGATTGCTTTTCATTCCGTCATTGACGTGCTTGTGACTCTTTTTCAGATTCTCAGGGAGAGAGAGAAGGGCGACTGGAAGAAACTGACAATCCAGGAGAAGAAAGATCTTTACCGTGCGAGCTTTTGTCAGACATTCGTCGAAATGGATGCACCAACTGGAGAGTGGAAGTTAATCTTGGCCGGTGTTTGCACGGGTGTGGGAATTGCTCTCCTCCTTTTCACGTGTATCAAAAAATTCGGTATGTATAGTAATAATGATAACATGATAGAAGTAAAAAATTAATTATGTAATTATTTTATAAGAGAGTGATTTTAGGGGAGTATCTTAGAGGAGCTATTGCGTCCGAATAGGGAACATACGTATTTGTTTATTTATTTTTTTTTTTCTTAATCTAGAAATTGTAACAATCTCCCCAATAATTTTTTGAACCGTCCAATTCGCATTTTTCAATGAGAAATCGTTGATTGAAAAGTGCACTTTTTGGGCGCCTCGAGTGGGCTGTGACGTCACAGCACTGTAGTCGCCATGCCTCTCACTCACTCTCGTAGCGGGAGTCGACAGAGCTGACGCACGGAAACACACGGAAAATAGTTTAATAATTATTTATTTGCTTTTAAAAATTGCATGTTTCAAAAGTTCTAATTCAAGGGAATGCAAGGAGTTTCTAGGAAATTTGAGAAAGAAGGAAAGACCATGGACGTATCCACGTACAATTACAGCTGTATCAAAGATACAGCCGCCTGCAATTTTTGTATTCTTTCTCTCTCTACCAATTTCATTGATAATAACCTTCCGAATGGATTTGTCGTAAAGCTTCCGTTGAAATTGAGGGATGTTGGGGAAAAGTCAAAAGATCTCTTCTAAAGCTGGCAAAATCTTCCACAAAAAAGACTTCAACTTTTTTTCTTGCAGCCGCCCAATTCATGTTGTACTTTATTCAATCCATAGTCAGTTAATTCAAGATAATTATATAATTAATATAAACGTCATGTAAAATAATTTTTTATGCAGAAAATAATGATAAAAAATAATTGATAATTGTAAATAATCGATGTATACTCATCTTCCATTTCAGTTTATTCACCACTACCAGTTACCTTCGACCAGGAACATCAAACCGCTCAATACGAGCGTATGAGGCAACTGGACATGAACCCAATTCACGGCATGAACAGACGTCGATAAATTCGCGTCTAATTATATCATAAAGCAAATGAAAATGATTTTAGTTTAAGTCATTGGTAGACGAAAAGTTGTGATTAAAACATCTACTCCAATGTTAAGTATTCTGTAATAATGTTTAAGGCATTCAGGAAAATCTAATAAAATGCCGTTTCTCTACTACAAGGAAGAAACCATTGTACTTCATTCATTCCAGAATTCTTAAACTCATTCATAATACAATTAACATTTTTCCTCATATGAAATGAAGTGCATATGAAGTGAGGTTCAATATTCATAGTTGTCTGACCAATGGAATGACGATGAAGCATTCATTATGATAAAAATCATCATGCGATGAGTTCTAAAATTTTTAACAGATTATTTTTCGAACGTCGTGAACGGTTAGCCTCGGAGGAAACAAGTGGACAGTTACATTCTTTTATAAATCGACATCTAATAACAAAAGGGCATTGCAATTTTCTTTTTAAAACAAGGGTATAACACAATTCGCGTTAAGACTAGGGTATCTCAAAATTCATGTGAAAGCTTGTTGTTCACATCCATTTCTAGGTCTGATGGAGCTCGCAAATCATTTTATTTCTCTTTCAATGTGAAGTACTTTATGTTATTTGTCCTTTTTGATGCAATCATACTTTTTTAAGGATAATTCTTATATTAAACAGAACAAAATTAGGTATGTACGAATCAAATTTCAAAAAACTAATTCGTAATTGTTACTGTACACATTTTTTCAAAAATTTTGGAACAGAAACCTCTGCACTCAATAACTGGAGGCCCTGAATTATTGATCTATCCTGTTTCATCGTTCTAGTATCAACTTATGGAAAAAAACTGAATAGGTAAGTAAATAAAAACCATTGAACCGTCATTTTTTGGGCGACCATCAAAGGCTTCTTTCTTTTTCTTTTTATTATGAAAACGTAATGAACTATATGTTTGTACTTGAGATTATGATACAGTTATTGTATATAAATAAAGTGATATCTTACAAAGACCGCTTATTTTCTTTTCTATGTATACAGTCTTTCGTAAGTTTGTACATATTAAATTAAGTTACAGTAGCAGCATCAACTATTTGAAAATTCTGTTTTTTTTTCATCCACATATTTTTTAGGCATCACTCGTGCGATTGAACAACCATACAAATTTATTCAGACCCAAGAATTTACGGTTTAGGATGTTTTTCATCATTTTTTCTTCCTTCTCATCCATTAAATATTAGAAAATAGCCCTTTTACACGAACGGAAAAAAAATATTTTTGTATAAAGCGCCTTTTGCATCTACATAATAAAGAAAGTTGCCCTACAGTATTTTTTACATAAAGGAAGAAGTAGTACTTATTTCTTATATAATTATTTTTTGCATTTATATCCGCGCCATTATGGAAATTATCCATAAAAAAAATTATCAATCGTATTTTTTTTCTCGTTAAATTACTTTTTTGCTTCCCACATTGGCCGATTAATTAAAACTTTACACTATGTCAAAAATTATGATGAGACAAAAAGTTTTTTCGTTTCTTTTTTTTCTCGTTTCCTCATGACGCACAAAAAATAAAAATATCTTTATACATATACATTTATTACTAGACAACTGTTAGACTTAATTAATCTTTCAATTTAATGGCTTACTTTACAATATGTACATTAGGCAAGTCTCGTTCATCTTTTACTATTTTTTCCTAGATTTTCAGATTTTTAAATTTTTTTTTCAACTTTTCCTCTTTTTTTTCTTTTCATCATAATTTTATTACTAAATCCAATGCTTCTTTCAATGTTTTTTTTCTCGTACTTACAAGAATATAGTTTCGTTATAGAAAACTAAGTCTTTGTCGGCTATTATAATTAAGAAAAAATTGTTCTCTAAGTTTCACTCAAAACTCTGGAGTCAAGTTGAATTTAATGGTTTTGTTAAATGTAGATTCATCGTGAAAATGAGGAATTTCGAGGGAAAATGTAAAATATCTCAAAACGTTTTCTTTTTACATATCTACTAGTTTCAAAGACAATTTCAAAGAAGCATTCGGTGTTACAAAGATTTTAGGTCGGACCACATTTCCTAATCTTAATCTCAGAAACCAGTTGGTTGATCAAAGAATGTCAAGAGACTTGTTGTTGTAGTCAAAAAAATTTTCCACAAAAAAATTATTGTTCTAAAAACGCATTCTCCAATTTTGCAATTATCCTGGGAATTAATTGATTTATATGAGAGTGTGAGATGGCGTTTGTTCCCTCTACAAAATTTCCTTTAAAAAAGTGAGGAATTTTGAATTTTTCTCCTCAATTCCCTCAGCATCAAAATAATTCCGCACTGGACAAAAATTAACTTTAACAACTTGACTGTCGAATCCTGACGACTAATTTTTTCTGAAGCTCTCCTGACGTAGTAAACGATTAAAAAATTAATAAAGGAAAATCCAGGGCTGTTTCGTTGAACTTAAGCTTATAATTTCCATTATCATCTTTTTGTTATTCGTTATGGCAATGAGGTTCAACACGATCCGCAAAAAAACCTTTAAAAATCGGACTTTTTTCCATTTTTCATCAATTATATCTCTTATGAACACAATTTTTAATTGCTTTGACGTTGCGACGATAGTGCATTTAATACTATCAGGGGCTTGAAAAGAAAACATTATGTATTAAGATTACGTAAAAAACAAACGCACCATTATCGCAGTCATTGTATTACATTATTATTCTAACCGTTATATTTATATTATTTCGCAAATTGGCCACGCAAGATTTTCGGGGGATCTAATCACAGAGGGGACATAACGAACTGTGAAGAGTGAGATGAGAAATTATGACCGTTAGGAAGTACACCGATATTAGTGCTCTCCATAGCACGTCGGTTATTTTTAAATTAATGCTGAAATATTCTTTGGTTCATTCGTTAAAATTAACGAACCAATGATATACATATTCATCTAAATACAAATATATATATATCGATTCAGGACGATTTCGTTCAATTGATCGAGGGGGAAGAGATGAAAATTTTATCGAAATTGTGGAACGTAACTGATGAGTCGAACACGACTTTGTTGTTAATTTTTTGTTAATCATCTCATAGAGAGCTGCAGTTGACGAAATTTTCTGCAAAAAATCGTCCCAACATTTTGTCTTAAAACCACTCATGAGATAATTGCGGAGCCAGAATGGACATCTAATTCCAGAATATAAATTCATGATGTCTTTCCTAATCAGCCAATTATCTCGTAATTGAGTTATTTTAGGGGAAAACTGTCGAGACCTTTTCGCAGTGAACACAATTCTCATGAAAAATGTCTCTTGACATTTCATCCTAAATCCACTCATTGAGATAATTGCATAATGAAAACAGACATCTCATCTCAAAATGTGAATTATACGGGCTTCACTAATTACGAATTTACCTCGTGATAGAGCGACTTTAGGGAAAAATGTCAAAAGACTTTTTTTCAGTTGACAAAATTTCTTGAGAAAATTGCTTCTGATGATTTCTTTGTAAGTTACTTAATTCTTGAATAATTGCCTTATTAATGGAACTTCTAGTTCCCCTTGAAATTTAGTGACTTCAAGGGAAAATGATACGTGAAATTTTTGTAATTGATGAATGAAGTTCCTCACAAAAATGCGAGTTACATGGTGGCTTTACTGATTATGCAATTATCCCATGGTAGAATGATTTTAGGAGAAAATGTCAAACGACGAAACTGCTTCTGATGATTTCTGTTAAAGTAACTTAATTCTTGAATAATTGCATTATTAACGGAACGTCTAGTTCCCCTTGAAATTTAGTGACTTCAAGGGAAAATGACACGTGAAATTTTTGTAATTAATGAATGAAGTTCCCCACAAAAACGTGAGTTACATGGTGACTTTAGTGATTATGCAAATATCCCATGATAGAGTAATTTTAGGGGGAAAAGTTAAACGACGAGTTTGCTTCTGATGATTTCTTTTAAAGTTACTTAATTCCTCAATAATTCCATTATTAACGGGGGGAGTCAGGTGAAATTGGAAAGTCGTCGGTTGATGAAAACAATCGAGCGACTGATGATATATCATGAAGTATGTAAAAAACTAAGAAGGATTTCGTACCCAACCCATTTAACCCCGTACGTCAAGCAAAAACATAGTTTTTCCTGTTTTTGGCTTTGAAGTGCTCCCCGCACCAGAATTTTCAGCCAATTTAAACTTTTTTTTTCAAGATGTTCGTTAGATCCCATAAAATAAAACTATTTTTTTTATTATCTCAATTAGATCATTAAAAAATTACATTTTTTCGGTTTCGGCAACTAAAGATTTTTGTCAACTTCAACAGCGCATGTGTGTAATTTTTCTCTTGAAAACACCCTTCATTTTAATGTTCAACTACTTAGAATAATGATTTTTATACGGTATGAAAGAAGGAGAGAAATGAGCAAACCAAACAAATTAAATTTTTTTATGATCTAATAGAGATAATCGAACGAAAAACTTAGTTTTCTTCTATGGAATCTAACGCACATTTCGAAAAACTGTGAAACTTGTGATGCGAAGAGCATTTCAATGCCAACAACACGAAAAAGGACGTTTTCGCCTGACGTACAGAGCAAAATGGGTTGAGTACGGAATTGTTTTTAGTTTTTTAGGTACCCCATGATATATCAAAAGTCGCTCAATAGTTATTTTCATCAATCGAAGGCCTTCAAATTTCCAATGGGCCCACCCTTACCAGTAACGTTTAATTCCCCTTGAAATTTAGTGACTTCAAGGCAAACTGACAGGGGAATTTTTTTTTACTTAATGAAGTTCCCTACACAAATGTCCATTGACGCTTCTCCCCAAGTCCATCCATCACGACATAATTGCATAATTAGAACAGACATCTAACTTTAAAATGCACCAATAAAACAGAAAAAAATTTAAAATGTAAATTCAATGTCTTTACTAATTGCGCCAATATCCCGTCATAGAGGGATTTTAGGGGAAAACGTCAAGAGATTTTTTGCAGTAAAGAAATTTCCATGAGAAATTTTCTTCTGATAATTTCGTTCAGTCATTAAATTCAGAAATAATTGTGTTATTGACAGCGATGTTCAATTCCATTATAATAATTACAGAATGTCTGTGCTAATTATGGGATTACTTTGGGATTGAGTGACTTCCCGGGAAAATGTCAGAGGACCTTTTTGTAGCCAACAAAGTTACCTGCAAAAAAGTCCATTGACATTTCTCTCTAGATCCATTCATTATGGAGATGATTGTGTCATTAGGATAGACATTTGATTTTTGATATGAATAACATGATTCCTGTGCAAATTATGCAATTGTCATTTTGCGATTAGAATAATTGTAGAGAAAAATGTCAAAAGAAAATTCCTCCTGATGATTTCGCCTAGAGTCATCTCTTTAAAGACCAATTCCATTGTAAAAATTATAAGATGTCTGTGCCAATTGTGCAATTATTTCCCAATTGAGTGGATTCAAAGGAGAATGTCAAGACTCCATTTTAGTCCATAAAATTTTCTAAGAAAATTCCTTTTGATGATTTCTTTTAGCCATTTAATTCTAAGGTAATTGCACTATTATTATTCCATGGTGAAAATGATAGGATTTCTGTGCTAATTGTGTCGTAGAGTTGTAAGCCTGGTAAAGGGAAACTATTCCCACAAAAAATGTCCTTTAACATCTCCTTCTAAAATCTCTCATTCTCAAGAGAATTTAATTATTAACAAAACAGAATGAGACGAGTCGATTTATCGTTTACGTTTCAACACATAAAAGCAGAAAATTAAACTAGGGTAGTAATCAAGGGGGTGCTAAAATCCCCCACCATCGATAACCATTTAAGACCAATCGCCCCATCGTCAAATGCTAATTCCTTTTTTTTTATTTTTGTGTTTTTTTATTTTTATTTTTTTTTATTTCTTTGTCATTTTTGTATTTTTTTCTTTTTAGTATAAATCGAAATAAAATGCATAAAATTCAAATTCCATTTCGACGACGACGATCAGTTTTTTTTTATAATTAAACTTTTTTTTCGATTTTGTTTTTAAGACATTACCTGTTTTTTTTTATTGCTAGGATTATTCACACTGTGACTTGGACGAGTTCCCTCGAAGACAAACGACGAGGACTCGACATTTTGTGTTGTTATCAATTTTTAAATTTGTTTTTCATCAGTGGAGAAAAACGCAAAATATATTTTCATATATTTGTGGGACTTTTAACACGGGAAGGAGGGATACGTTTTTCATCACCGCACACAGTCACCTGGTGCACGATGGCTGACGAACTTCTTTCGTTTTGGTCCTTGTACTCTTGATCCTGGACTCTGGCTACCGCCATTATTGTTTTGGGTGTTTGAATTGGTGTTGTGTTGAGCATTTTTCATTTTGTTCTGGCCAAGGGTGTTGTTGTTCACGCCACGGGGATAAGTACCTCTTGAGTTGTGCTGATGATTGACTGAAAAAAAAAGAACAATTTAAACAATTAATAAATATGATTTTTATTGTTTTTGTTCGTTGGTAATGATTCTTTGCTGAATTATATAATTATTGCATAGATACTACTTTTATTTGAGGCTGAGGAAGTCTACGATTCAGTGAATAAACATTTCGTTACATTTTTTTTCCATCATCAAAGTCATGAAATCATCAAAATGAATTACTTTGGTATCCTCTGAATATTGGAATGGAATCTTGAAATCGTATCTCGAAAATTCTTTCGAATGAGGCCTTTGAAAATTTTTTCCTAATTTAGATTTAGAAATAGTCATTAAGGAGAAATGTTTATTTCGAAAATTCATGTTGACAAGACGTGATTTGAAAATAGAATGTAGAGATCTGCCGCATAGGAAAATTTTTATGGGTAATAAAACCAGACTTCTGACGAAATCCTTCTTTCCAAAAAAGAAGTACGAGTAATGTCTCGAATCGAAATACAATCATCTTGCGTCGAATTTTCATGAATCCCGTCTAACAAACAAAAGAGAATTGAATATCATTCTATTAAACATGAATAAACGAATCAGAATTGTCCAAATAATTTGGGTCATGGAAAATAGGATAATTCTACTTTCTTAATATTGCGTTTACCAAGATTTTCTTCGAACACTGTTGATTATAATTAATAGCTATAAATATGAGATTATTTCACATTTTTGACGTTAAGTATAGAAGAATTCGAATGCAATATAGTGACAATGATGATCGATTTTTTCACTTTGAGCAAATCATATTAATAATGAAAAAGAAGCTGTCACTCAATATTCTAAATGAAGTTTTAATTTTGAATTTGGTACTGAAAACACTAGATGACAATATTCTAAGCACGAAATCGCATGGATGAGATGACTAATAGATCAAATGAATATCATGTGAACTAACTAAAAATTGATAGCGGTGTGGGTATAGCTTTTTACCAGAGCATTAACAAACATTGAATTCCAGAAATTCACACTCTAACGTGTGTTCTAGAAAGAATTGAATTGTAATTATGATAAAATCTCATTTGGTGGGCATAGAACTTACAACATGAGAAAATAATTTATTATAATATGCAAATTTGCAATAAGAATGATTATAGATAATTAATTGAAGAAAGAAACATCAAATCTGACAGGAAAAAGGCATAATAAGAGGGCATTCAGGAGCTAGTCTTATGAAAAAAAAAGGATAAACCCCTTCGTATTTCAGATACACGCAAGAATAGCAAATACATGATGAAATCAGTAGCGAAGCGGTAAACCGGGTTAAGGCCCGGGTGGATTATCTTTCGAACGTGGTCTTGGTTTTTTTTTTTTGATAATCTGAAATGATCTCCAATTGTTATTCAGTTTTACATAGCCCTAGACTCTCCAACAATTATGATTGTACAATCAAAAAAATGTTGAAAAAAAGCAGAACATATTCAAAGAGCGTTTTTGAATAATATTGGGAAATAAACCCAATAGGGAGGAATTGCAAATTAATAATTTGATGTATCTAATGGCTGTTAGGTCGTCATTTGTCACAATAGTCAATGGCTGTCAGATCGTTAGTTACCAGGGTCAATTATCCATTCACTATTTCCTCTCTATCGGACTTATTTCTTAATCTTAGTAAAAACGCTCTTTGAAAATGTTCAGTTTTTTTCCTACTTTTTTTAATTGTACAATCATAATTTTTAGGGACTCCTGCGTGATGTAAAATCCAATGTCAATTGTAATATATTTTACATTATGAAGATGGAAAAATAACCGAGATAACGTTCGAAAGATAATCCGCGCGGGTCTTAAGTCGATTTTGAGTATTGGCCAGATTTTACGAATATCTCAGAATCTACAAGAGATAGAAAAATTTTTGTTCTGACCTTTTTTGTAGAGCTAATTGAGGTTTACAAAAAAGGTAATGACCAAAATTTTGCTATCTCTCTTAGATTTCGAGATATTCATCAAAAACTGGCCAAAAGTCAAAATCGACTCCACTCGGTTTACCGCTTCGCTACTGAAGTGACATCTCAATTCACAGACTATTTCGGAAATGAGATTTTCAAATGAACTTTTTCATAAGAAATCTTATGAATTAAAAATAAATCTGACATTTTTGTCTGGAACTCTGAATTTCACTGATTGTAGATATTTCTACAATAGTTTGCATCAAACTGTCTGGTTTTCCCATTCGATTACTGAGATATTTACCATCATTATACCTTCCTCTAGTTACTTTCAAATAGTTGGGATAATTTACCATGACCACTCGGTTTGTATGGCTTCTTCCAATGATGATGCTGATTGGAGTTGTGATTGTTGTATGCATTCCTGTCCTTATTTCGATCTTCTACTTTGCTGCCTGTGTTGGGTGAGTTTCCTCGACTGCACTCAGAATCCTGAAAAATAAAAATAATTAGAAATCATTTTTCAAAATCGTTATAATTAAGCCTCTTCAGCCCAATGACTCTCTGATTCTCGATTCTTACTGTATCACTAGCTGGTGCTGAGAGGGTAGAGGCCTCTGAGCCAGTTGAACTCGACAGCGAGTCTAATTCGCCAATCAACGGTGGGAATGTTTCCTTGATCCATTTACGATATTCGATGACTTCGTCAGTTACTCGAATTATTCGTCCCAATATACTGGAGCAAAAATTAACATGAGTGGATACACGCATGGAAAAAATTAATAGAAAAAACCTAGCGCTTTCTTTAAGAAATTCCATTGAATTTCGATTGGAACTCCATAACTTTTTCGAAGTTTTATTAGAATTCCACTCAAAAATTCTGTTTGTTTTTTGCATTTGTTAAGAGATATTTCATAAAAAACCAATAAATTTTGATTGTTCTATAGAAATTCTTGAGCGTAAATTTTCCAAGTTGTTTCCGCTGCATTTTCATTTGGTAGATTTCGTTTTTTTTGTTTATTAATATTCGAATTTTACTGAAAATTCAGTATTTTTTTGGAGCAGAAGGAAAACAAGAATTCCCAACCTTGCTTGAATTTTCAATCAAAACATGACTATTCAGAATCAAATTCCGCAGAATTTTCAAGTAATTGAAAATAAAAAAATATATCCAAGTTTTATTAGAATTCCACTCAAAAATTCTGTTTGTTTTTTGTGCCATTTCTATAAGAGATTATGTACCTTCACCGTGTCATTTTGTTAAGAGGTATTTCATAAAAAAATATCAATAAATTTACCCTACCCTCCCCTATATATTTTTTTATTAGTCAGAAATCAATTTATCGTTTTTTAGAATTACTGTAAAACATTACAGTACATAAAAAAATATACATAGACATCATATTACGTTACTTGATAAGCGGAACAGAATAGAATAGGCTTCAAAAATCGTTACACTGAATTAAAAAATTTTTTTTTTCATGCATTCATCTTACCTGACTTTATTAGCGTCATTGACAAGGACATTGAGCGGACTAACCGCCTGAGAAAGTGCGTGATAAGCCCAATCAAATGCATCCTTAACATAGAGAGCACCGTAACTACTGCGGCCAATATCATTGCCTGGAGTGAGTGGATCCTCGATGCACAGCAAGGACGGCCTGTGACCATCAATCATATCTCGTTGGACCTGAAAAATTCCACCTCAATTACTTTCGACTCCAACAAAATAATCCGAAAAACTGACGAAACCCAAGATGATAAATAACAAATATTGTATCACAGGGATCATAAGCGAAAATAGCTTTCATTACCTCTTCTTTAGATATGTAAGTACCACCATCTTTAACTCTAATTCCAGTCTTAACATAATTGAATTTTCTACCGTATAGCTCTAGAAACTCAATCAAAAGTACACCCAGATTAGCTTCAGCGTTGAATGCATTTTGCCTAGGATGTAACTGAAATAATAAAAAATTCATTTTATTAACAAAAAAAAACTTCAATCTTCAGGTACAATTAGGGTTCTTAATGCATTCATGTCAGAAACGAGTGATTTAAAGAGGAACACACGAAGAAGAAATATTTCTGACAAATAAATGTTCATTTACGAGAAGTATGTAACAATTATTTTGCATATGACCTCGAACAAAAGCCTTCAAACATTACTCAGTTTTCAAATTTCCTTGAAGTAGTATGAATCAACTCCAGTTGAGTCGTTGAGTGTTCTGAGCAAAAAGTAAATTCAAAAAGCTCAAAAAAAAATTATTCATCATTGATAATTTTTTCGATGAATTCTAACTTTTATGAGTGTGAGAAATTGATCTATCAAATGGTTTTTTCAATTATTTTTTTAAACTAGGGGGTTACACCCCTACTCGCTTTAAATGAAGATAGCTTTCTTAGAAAATTTGTAATAATTGCAAATGTGAATAACTGTTGACGAATTCATACAAGGCCATATGCAACATAATTATCATAATTATAACGTATGGAATGTGCCCGGTGGATTGGCGCAGCGGGTAAGTTCGTTGCCTCACATGCGAAAGGTTCTGAGTTTAAATCCCGACCGGGTAGAATGGTGCGATCTAACCACCGATGATGATCAAGACTTTAGTCTTGATCATCATCGCAGTATACCCTAACCGAGTCGAAGCGATGTAAAATAACGATAAAAAAAATAACGTATGGAACCTAATTTGGAGGATCTGCAAACAATTAGAGAATTAAATATTTGAGAACAAATTTACTTCTTTTCAGTAGACATTTAGTTGACAGAAATGATTTCTTTTTATCAGCGTAGAACAGATAACACTCATTCTCCTACACATTTGTGGTTTTCTGAACATGAAAGTCTCAGATTGTCGACAAGTCAATAATTCAATAATGAAGTGGTCAATCGGTTTAAGGCGACTCAGCTCCCAGTGGAGTTTTTGCTGAATAACTCGGAATTTAAGAAAGGTAGCGAAATTTGTGTAAGATCTTTCTCGATAGTCTTCCCTTTTTTTACAAAAAAGATTTTTAGGAAAATTTTGCCAACTCCTTTCGAATTTGAGATATTCATCGAGAACTGGCGCTAGAATGAAATTGACTTGAATCGTTTGACCACTTCACTACTGAATTTTCCGGGTGAAAATTCTATTTGGTATCAACCGAATACCGCTGACTTATTGAATTATCTCGTGAATAAATGACTCAGAGAAATTATGGATAGAGCTCATTGCAAGAGACCCCTGATATTTTCAGCTAAAACCACTCATCTTCTAGATAAGGAAGTCGTTGTGAAGTTAGACTTGACGTAACGTATTCTACTTGTTAATTGTTCAATTATCTCGATAACGACTAATTCAGGGGAAAAAATGTAAAATTTTCTTTTCCCCACAAACGAATCATTTCGTAATCATCTGATTGATAAGCATTGAAGCAAAAATTCCTCAGAACTTCAGTCACATTATGATTTTTTTATTTAATCTCTGACTTCGCTTCTTCATTATCACGCGACCATGGAATCCAGCCAAATCGATCAATTTTATTAACTCATTAGGTATCCACTTAGTTGTCGTCACGAGAGGAAAAATAATTTGTACTTTCAAGTTCTTAAAAAGATAACGAGTCAACGAACAATAACTTTTTCTCGTAAGTTCAAAGGGCATATCCCTGACAATAAGGGATAGTCTCCATGAAAACTAAAACTTTGTCCATTCAGCGAACAATCGAAACCCATTTCATTAGTTTCGGATGGGTTCCATGAAGTTTCATTCGTAACGATTATGAACTAATGCACCCATTTGGTCGTAGTTAGACGAAGAACTATCTGTACTTTCAATTCTGAGGGAAAAATCAGTGAGCACGGAAAAAAGGATGCGAAAAAATTGATAGTTGTCAAAGAGCAATCACTTATTTTTACAAGTTCAGGGGGCACGGCCCCTACACCGAGAGAAAAACGATCGAGTTCTCAAACAAGTTTTGTTTGAGCCAACAAAATCGTTAGTTAAAAATTACCGAAAACATAATAGTTTGTTTCAAATTTGGAAGTCTCAAACATGAATAATTGCTCTGCGTTCCACAATAACGAAATATTTAGCTCAAGAGGCGGATCATTGATACAAGACGGTGCCTTTTCAAGATAAAAATATCGTTTGTAGAGAAGTTTATCAAGAAATATTTTGTCCCTAAGTTCCATGATTACTGTCATATCATTAGTATTATTTCATTTTAGAAATCATTTTTTGCCTATGATTGTTGAATAGCCGCAGCGACAAACTACACGGACGAAAAAATTTAATAGAAAAACCTATCGAATTCGTTAGAAAATTCTATTGAATTTCTATTGAACTGTTCTATTGTTTTTGGCCGATTCTAGTAAAATTTTCAATAGAAAATATTCTGTAGAAAAAGTCAATAGAATTCAATTTTTCAGTATAACTTATTCTATTGAGATATTTTCTATACAATTTCTTCGGCTCAAATTTTCTTTGTTTTTTCGTTTGATTTTCTTGATGAGAAGAAAAGAAAAATAAAATGAAAAAAACTTGGAAAATTTGAGTCGAGCAAATTCTATAGAAAATATATGAAAAGAATAAGTTATATAGAAAAATCGAATTCTGTTGAATTTTTCTATTGAATGTTTTCTATTGAACATGTCAATAGAATCAGCCAAAAACTAATAGCAAGTTTAATGGAAATTCAATAGAATTTTCTAACGAATTCGATAGGTTTTTCTATTAAATTTTTTCGTGCGTGTACTATCCCTTGTTTCATATAAAATGAGCATTTGCCGGGAGCAAAATACGTATGGGAGCATCGAATAACGAAGAAGTAGTGCTAGAAATTACATTTCTTGCTTGCACACAAAATACAATTTTTTTTTAAATACTAAGTCTATTTTGGCAATAAAAATTTTAAACTCTCCTCGCACGCTTCGCATGTTTGAAACAAAAAAAATTTTTTAAAATAATTTTTAACGAACGATTCATTTGGCGCAAGACTTGTTTGAGAACTCGGCTGTTTTTCTCTTAGTGTGGACAGAGAAAAAATTTAGTTCTGCCGATAAATTACATGTTCCCCTGAAAAGATTGTTTGTCGTAGAGAATCAATTTCCTTCTGGCCGAAAACTGTGTTATTGGCAAAACTAAATAATTTCGAGGGGACAATTTTTTAAAAATATTCTTTCCTCGTCAAAGTATTCTGTCTATGGTATAAACCGGTGGAGATCTCTCAGATCAAATGATTGTCGTACGATAGATTATATTCTTTCCTGTCAACTGTTCGAATTCTTCTAGAAATATTTCTGACGACCACGAACAAATTTTAACTTTTGTGAAAGATATTGAATTTCCTTCTATCAAATTGGTTAATTTCCCTCAAGTAAATCTGTTTCACTCATTCAGTGTTAAGTATCCCTGAAATTACGTGATAGTTCTCGCAACTGAAACTTTTTCACTTTGCGAATAATTTCAATCGCACCTCTTTTATTGGTTTTTAATGGGCTTAATGAAATCTTAATCAATAACTATTTGCTAATTTTATTTAAAAAATGTTAATAATACCTGTAAGAAACTGATGGTCATAAGAATCAAACTGTATGACGAAATACCGCCAGTAAATACTTCATTAAGATCACGCTGCAATAAAAATTGTTTGAGTACCATAACGAGCCTATCCAACACTGGATACTGTTTCTTGTACTTCTTAATCAATTCCGCTGATTTGACTCCATTATTCATGTTGAAACTAATATCAACTTTTATCTCAGTTTCTTTGTCAGTCAATTTAACTATCGGTACACTTGCTTTGTCCAATACTTTTATCGACGATGGCTCGGCAATATTTTGATCCAGAAGAGCACTCTCGAGGGTACGTAGAGGCAGATTTGTCCACCTGCCGATCACCACTAGGTCGATATCACTGGGTGAAACAGAAGAAATTGCCCATGTGAATGATGTCAAGAATTCCGCTGATTTTTTTTAATTATAAAAAATGTTGTAAATAACATTCAAGGTTACCTGGTGGGTAAATAGAGACCAGTACGAAAACTACCAAAGACCTCGACTTTCGAGTCCGGCCAGAGATCGTATATAACTTGTTCTATTCTTTTGACTACTCGTACTCGAAGACAATGCTCCTCTCGTGATGGACACATGTATGTGTAGAAATCTTGAATCTCTTCGTGGAGTCTAGGCATAAAAAAACATTCATTAGTGTTTCTTATTAATAATACAAGATCTATGCGCGCGCTGATCTATTCATTTGTTGAAATGAAGAAATGGAATTCATTAAATTTCATTTTCTCATGAATATCTTATAAATATTGATAATGAATCAAAGAGAATTCGACTAATGATTGAAGTGAATAGCGAAGTAGAGTAAAAGAATCTATAAAGAATTTTTCATTTTCAATTAATTATTTTCAATTTTTTAAAATAATCGGTCTTCATAAAAGGACAATATATATGCGTGTGAAATATATATATATATATATATATATATATATATATATATATATATATATATATTNATATATATATATATATATATATATATATATATATATATATATATATATATATATATATATATATATATATTCCATATATCAATCAAAGGATATTGACGAAGTGTAGGATGAAGTGTAGGATATTTTATGATACTGGTGCGAAAAAGAAACGTGCCCTTTTTTTCCATGTATCGTAATTACCTATTTTCGTCACAAGGCCGGAAAAATTGTTTCGCCTTGAAAAAATTTCAACAAAAAAATGGCAGACTACAATATCTTCAACTATAAATGTTGAAAATTTGACCGGAGAAATGGCTAAAGAAAGATATATTAGCTTCCTGAGACAACAAAGAAAATGCAAATACTACAAGTTATTATCAGATCTTCGCTAGTTAAATAAATTATCGTGTTTTTTATGTCTCCACTATCCCTGACTTCCTGGAGGAAAATTGATGAAATAATTAAAAATTTGCGATTTTTAAAAATTACGAACATCTTCTATTAATAATTTGTGTACGTCCACGTGAAAAGGGCCCACTTTGTCGCATCTAGTTTCCGAGATATTCACGTTTTTCTCTCCACATCTCCCATTTAAACCAATGTTAAATTGTTTTTTTGATCGTCTATACTGACGTCAGTTTTCATTCTATCGGGTTGATTTTGGGCTCAAAATGTGAGAAATCTGATCAAGATTATCGGAACATACATAACTCCAATACCGTCAAAGTGGGCCCTTTTCATGCGGATGTCCACATTTATAAACAATCAATTTTCCACCATAAAAATCATTTGTTCGGAATTGTAACAAATTTATTCATAGTCTGAATTTTACCAGAAATCGACTGAATGCTTAAAAAAATTATGTTTCCGAGTGTTTAAATAATTTCAATTATTTATTTAAAACCGCAAATGTTGAAAAAAATAATTCTGGGCAAAGTGAAATTTGAATGACGCTGAATATTCATGGTTTTTTTGCAAAATTTTCTCAAGTAATTTAATTGACTAATTTAATGATTGAAAATGGTTGAATCTATAGTGTGGTCTGTAGCAAACTGTAAAAGATACTTGGATATCCTTAAATCGCTATTGATAGGGGAGGATGGGGCAAAACGGCCCCCCTTCAATCGTCAATATTTTCCGATTCAATAATCCGATTGGGATGAGTTGGAGCTCGTTTTGAAGAATGAAAAATTATCTTCAAAATAAAGTTGAAACTGGGAATTTTCACAATGTCATTCACAAGTTATTGACAATTGAAGGGGGGCCGTTTTGCCCCACCCTCCCCTACATGAAATAATTCTATTGGCCGCTGCGGTTATTATGATGAAGCTTTCTTACTGCAAACGATAAAAAAAAATCTGAAATGAAATCGAATTTAGCGCAAAATATAGGACATGGTCTAAATGGGATCCGATTGTTGATTTTTTCTTGTCGTTTGCGCTCAATGCCTTCATCACAATCCTATCATTAATTCTTCAGTCGAAATTACCATTATCAGTAATGAAGAATGAAAAGAAGATAAAACTTAAATGTTTTCGAGGGTCATTTTGTAAATATAATTTGGAAACTTGTAGTCTCTTCGTAAAATCAACAGAACGAAACGAGAATCTCTTGATTCCGTTGATGTTTACATTTGTATAGAAATGAGAATAGATCTGAGTGTTTGTAATTTTTTCGTTCTAGCGATGCCAAATACTCAATATTTTGGTGTTTCAGATTGTTGCTGTTATGTACGATATTTCTGATCATAGATTGTGAGGAATGAACTTTTGTGTGGACGGAAGTTTTTCTTTTGTAAATAGTACGATTACGTGAAGAACGATTTCTTGAGAAATTTACTCTAAAACTATTCGCGAAGGTCTAATAACAGCACAAAAATCTATTAATCTTGTTAGAAGTTAATATTAGTCATCTTAAAAATATCGCACCATAAAAAAATGACAAAATAAAAGAGTATTACCATTTTATGGTATTGCCATTATAAAGCTAAATATTAATACTGATATTTTATTTTTTTAAATTTTTGTAAAAATACTAATACTAATATTTTATTTTGTCTCCAAAATAAAATGATATGAGGCATTCGTTTTGTCTCCTAAATTGGGAAATTTAAAGAAAAAATGAAAAAGAATAAATCAATAAATTCCAAGAGCATTAGAATTTACACAGAAAATTTAGTTTCTTATCTTCTGCTGAATTTCCTAGAAACTCTTCCTGAACTCAGAATCGACAAAACAGAAATCGGCTAGTTCTGTTTACGTTTACATTTGCATGGAATTCGAAGTATTGGGGCATTGTTTTCACTCTGCAAACATCAAGTACTCAGTATTTTGATATTTCAAATGATTGTTGGTAGAATAATCCTCGTGTCAATAGTCTCTAGGTAGCATTCAGTATTCATTTCCAAGATTACGGGTGTCCACGGAGAGAAAACTCTAGCGATTATTTCCCCCACCACCCTTCCGGCCAATAGAATTGCGGTATTCGACGTTCGGTGGTCCCATCAAAAGAGAATTATATCGATAATTGCTCGTCGTTTGGAAATTTCCCGTTGGGATTGTACCTCGATTGTACCACGACGACACCGAATACCCCTGGAGCTTCAAAATAAATCGGAGTATTTCCCCCAGACTTCCCTGCATACAACGGATATGCGTCAAGTTTCGCAGGAAATATCGCGCAAGCGCTCGGGAAATTTTTACCCTGCGACATAGTCGATTATATGCATGGAAGTTATCGGGAAAGAACACCAATTTTCTGTCAGTGGTCCATTTTGCTCTCCTGGTCCGTTTTGCCCTACCCTCCCCTACTATTTTGCCCCGTGGGCGGCGCTCTTTGTTCCATGGGCCAACGAACACTTTTCCCATGAGTATCGAACCCCATTTTTCATCAGAATGTGTAGAAAGTGAAATTTTCTGCACTCGGCGCGTGCGTAAAATTTCACATTACGCACAAGTGATGAAAAGAAAGTTATTAACAATTCAATTGTTGAAAGTTTTTTGTTGGAAACTATCTAAGTAGAAAAAAATATTTCAAATGCAGATGGTTCCTCTTGTAAAACTGAACATGAATACTCTAGTGTTTTTTTTCCTATGTTGATTATTTCCGGAGATATTGAGGGTCAAAAGAATTGTCTAGATTGTAGACCCGCGGTGTAGGAGCGCGCAGGGTACTTGCCATACGCATTTCCGCGTGATATTTGACATTCTGATATCTCGGAAAATACTGGAGGTACGAAAACATTCATACGTGCGAACATTTTTAGTCTGACAAGAGAAACATTTTTTATTTCAACTATTTTTTCCTGCCTAGAATAGTCTCCGAGAGAACTCGGTTTTAACAATTGAATTGCCAACGTTTTTTGCATTGTTTGTCGTCAAAACGACCTTCAAAGTCGAAAAATACCACATCAACCCGTAACCACCAAAATTGATAGCAAATAGTACCTAGGCATAGACTAAAAATAGTGAGAGATGAACAGAAGATTATTTTTTTAAATTTTGTTAACGATATTTTGCGAATATTTCGGGAGTTTGTGGGCTCAAAAAAATAATAAAATACATTTTTTAAACGGAATTGAAATTTTGTCTCCTTTTCTCCCAAAGATGTTTTAGTAATACCATGCATATTAGTTCTATCCAGTGATTTTATTAGAAATAACTTCCTCAGAACTTATCTCAGTATCAATCGTCTCGTTAAGTTTTTTCCTCAGTTTCCACAAATTCTGTTCATTTTTTCATGTTTATTTGTCTCTAATGGTTATGAAAATAAATATTCAGAGGAAAGGCAAATTTTCTTCGACAATTGTCAAATTGTATAACTGCAAGTAGATGAGTCTAAAAATTCTATTTAAATTTGTTTGCGAATATTTCCCAGAATTTATTCCGTTAAACATATCCATAAAATAGTATATGAATATGTACAGCGTTGAAAATTTTTCCTATGGCAAAGCATTTCAACGTTCATTCTCCCGACCATTTCCTGAAGCTTCAGTTTATCTTTTCTTGTCCGAGTATCTGTGCCAAAATTATGGTGATTTATCGATCCCAAATTACAAATGTCATTAATTGAATCGAATTCTCGCCACGAAATGTTCCAATCGTAAAAAAATTAACTCTCAAATTTCGTACACTGTATTATGTGAATATTTATAAAACTACTGTGCTTATCGCAGAATGTGTCAAAAGACCGAAGGTATCAATAAACCTCAGAATTATCTGCAAGATGTCACAATTGTCATCACAATTTACCATAATTCATTCTCATTGTCCCCAAACAATTCCCATCGATGAAATATCAACAAAAATTAAGGCCAGATAAGAAAAGTGCACCTTTTTGAATTATTACATCTACTGACCGAGGGGCTGGTCACTCCTCAATCGGGTGGCTCAATGATTCTCACAATGTGTGATTTCTAGAATGATTTCTGTGATTACTTAATACAAATTGAAAATCATGATTTCTTTTGATTTTTCGTGATTTCCATGATTTTTAGTAGATTCTGATGATTTCTTGATTTCAAGAAATCACTCGAAAAATCATGATTTCGGGGCCAAAGTGGGGCATCTGTCGATAATCGCATATGGGTACGATTCGGGGAACCAAAGAGTTTAGAAGGATCTTATGGATGTGATAGTAAGAATCTGATGACAATCCTGAGTGGAAATTCAAATCAGGATA